TACGTAATAAATAAGATTGTGAAAGGAGGCTTTGTATTAAATTGCTGGAAGAATGAATTGTGTTAGCATTTGAAACACCGATATAAATTGGAATGCTGTTTGCACAACGTTTGATCTCAACTCTGAATGTTAAAAAGATGTAAACTAAGGTAAGCAATCCACATCACCTCATTCTGATAAAAGGAGAAAAGCAATATTCCAGTTATGGATCATGAAACTATTGCTGAGTTTCACGCTACATCACAGCATTTTTAGATCTATAATGTTTAATTTTTTTGTAGTAATGCACTGCGTTCCTGGGTTTAGTCTAAAGATTGACTGATATGGGTTTTAGTATTTGAAACAGTGCGATATAAATTAGAATGCCGTTTGCGTAAAGTTTGATCTCGACTTTGAATATTAAAGAGATGTAAACTAAGGTAAGCAATCAGCATCACTCTTCATTTTGATAAAAGGAGAAACAAACACTATTGCATTTGGATTAGGCTGTAAAATGCAAGGTACCACTTATGTTTAAAAGGTGCACTGGGTCACATTACTAGTTGAGGGTCCGCCACCTGCTTATCTCCATGGAAATGTTATCGCTTTGTCTAGAATGTTCCACAGTATAGATCAGGGGTCACCAAACTTTTTCCTCTGGGGGCCACATTATCACTCCTGACTGTGATGGGGGCCGGGGTCGGGTCGGCCGTATAACAGAATTGTTTGACCCTGACGATGCAGATTATATTCTTTGAAAACCGCCACACTTTCTTTACATATCATATAAACTGCATGCTCCTTACACTGAACAAAAAATAATTGGTCATCCACTGTTCTTTGAAAACTTGTCACTCTCTATCAACTTTTCATACTTTAACACTCACCATTTTTCTGTCCTTAACTGTACTACAGAACTCTGCATGTGCGTTAACTCTCACTATTTGATCTCGAGCTTGTCAGGTGATGAAAATTCTGTGGTAAATGCGGTGGCAAATGAATATAATAATTTAAATATAAATATTTCATATAAATAGCATTTTTTATTTTAAAAAATCAACAAAATACAAGATGCAGACGTGTTATTATTTGCCAAAAAGTAATTTAAAAAAATAGGCCATGACAACCTTTGAGGATTGCCTCAAAGGGCCAGTTCAAGTGGTGGGGGGCAGAGGGGCTGGGGGGCCAGTCAAAGGGGCATGGAGGACCGGACTCGGCCCGCATGCCTTAGTTTGATGACCCCTGGTATAGATTAAAGCTATTTATCACGAGAGAAAAGCAGGTTACAGCAATACACTATAAGTCGCCCCTATTCACAGAAGGAATTACTGTAATAAATAAATACCAGATAGATATGTTTAATGTCATATCATGGAACATTCCAGACAAAGCAATAACATCTCCATGGAGACAAGCAGGTAACAGACAACCAAACTCCACCAGAAAAGTTGCTCAGAGCACCTTAGTACAACATGGACACGTTACTTCAAACTTCCCCCAGTCTCTTCAACCACAGCCTACAGTAGATTAATTATTATCCCTATAAAAGTTGAGGCAGACGGGCAAGAATTCGCCAGATCAGCATCGGGGTTAGTGATAATAACAGAACTGGACTCCAAACTTTCACTTGAACCCTCCTGATTTGTAAGCACCAGCATGCATTTGTGAAAGAAACTAATATAGAGTGGATGGACATGGATCGATAATGGATCAATAACACTTTTCACATTAACAGTGACAATCTGGCAAAGAGTAATTGCTATTTCACTGGAATTTAAAAGGCCCATTTGATGCTATTTCCTGATCTGTTAGAATCAAAAACTTACCTGGAGTCATGTTTTGTTTCATTCACACATGTTTAACACACAAACCTGCAGAGTTCTAGTTCTTCTCTTAAACAGAAAACACTCTCTTCCACCTTGAGATGCCATGTGGTAATACAAGTGCTCCTCAGTGTTTTTAAACTCCATACACCCTCAGGAGAATCATTTGGATAATTTCAGCCCTGGAATTACCAATTAACTGAACAAAAAGTAAAAAAAAAAAAACAAAAAAAAAAACTACCACTTCATGACATTTCAAGGTGGAATAGGGCATTTTGAGCTTTAGTTGTAGACAAACTAATCATAAAGGATTACTCAAACATGTGTGAAGGAAACAAAACAAAACTCAAGGTATGTTTTTGATGAGGTAACAGTATTATAACATGGCTTAAAGCTCAGAAGAGTCATTTTTATGTAATATGGAGCTTTAAAACTGCTGAAAATGTACAACAAACAGCCTATATGCACTGATGGTCAAATAATAATGAATTAATAGAGCTGGTCACGACAGTCTCCTTCAATGTGACTCTATGATGATCAGACTCGGTACAGAAAGCACCAGCTGGTCTGTTAAGCTGATCACGTGACACTGTACGCGTGACGCCGCCGGTGATGTGACGCTGCGCCATTGGATGAGACCGTTGGAGCTGTTCAGCGAATATGCCTTCCCAGTGATGAAGATTATTTTGATGATTTTGATGTTAAAGATGCATGACAGATATGCACACGTAGGCTTTCTGATACAGTAAAATTTTTTAATAAAATGATACAAACGGATATAATATTTGACGCGCAAAAACTGATCTAGCCTACCGTTACGCGCGGGTCCTTAATTTAAAATCACAATATGAGCACAACAAAATGTATAAAAGCAGCTCACTACGCCACAATCATTCCCTTTTGTGCATACTACGATTATTAAACCAAAGAAAATACTAAAGAACACTGACATTGATGTGTTTTTGCATGTGAACAACACGACTGCCTTTGGATAAATATAAACCTCTAAATATGATGTCATTCGTAGCCTAAAGCTCCGCGCACGCATCTGTCATTCGATGCCATTTGCTCGGAATAAAACTGTAAACATGTAGGCAATTTGATCGTTGGAAAATAAAGACGATTTCACGATGACCGATATGTCCGTGGCTTGATCCGGGTAAGGATGCACTGTGGGGGAAGTGAGAATTTCCTGAGGTAGCTAGTATTATGTAACAAGCATAACCTTACTACCTGCTTAGATACGAGCCGCTACTTGATAAAACATAAAATAAATGGAAATAATGATGATTTACCGTTCAGAGAGTCTTGGGGCATTCTTCCTTGCGCGGTGGAGAGGATGCGCTTTGAACTCCGGCTTCACGCACAGATAGCGACCTTTGATTTGTCATTCGCTGCCAGTCATAGGTCACGTCGTAAAAAAAAAAGAAAAAAAAAAAAAGGAAGAAAGAAAGAAAGAAAAAACGTCCAACGACACACGCGGTGCTTCTAGGATCCCCCGGTAACTCTCTTTTTACACCTGTGCTTTAATCTCACGCACACACGTCACCGCTATGGGGCACCGTTGCTAAATTATACCAGACGAGCTTCCGTGATGGCGATATGGGGAGGTATAGAAGATGTAGCTGAGTGGATGAGAAGGAGAAGCAATGCATCAGTTGTGGAGGGTCCAACCATGAATCAATCCAAGGGAGCTGCGCGCGTCCCTACTGAGTTTTCCGCCTGCCAGGGAAAACCCGGGGTGGAATTTCCTACAATACCTAGAATCCCGTTTAAAACAACTTTATTAATTGATATTTGTAGATGAGCAATGTTTATTTTTGTTTAACATTTCTACTTTGGGCTAGGGTACACGTTGGGCAGCTTTTTGAAGAGCATGTACTAAACTAATATGCGTGAAATCTGTTGTTGTTGTTAGTATTATTTGCGTAAAAATAAATGAAAATACGCATACGTTATTAGACCTGCAGGCTTTATTTCCCTCCATATTGACGTGATAATAGTTAGTCACATGACAAAATCCCAAAGTGGACTGTAGAGGTCCTCCTAACAATGCATATGACAACTTGAAGCAGTTTACAATTAAAGGTCCTATAGCCTATTACACAAAACGAATTGTGGGATTTTTTAATTTGTTTTTTTCACACGTTTGAGTAACCCTTTATTATTAGTCTGTCTACATCTCCAAAGCTCATAATCCTCTCCTCCACCTTGTGATGTCAAGAAGTTGTAGTTTTCAAGTTAACAGCAACATTTTACCTTTTGTCCAGTAAAGATTGGTCATTCCAGGGCTGAAATCATTCAAGTGATTTCATCCAGATGAAACACAGTGGAGCACTTCCTGTGTTACCATGACATCACAAGGTGGAGTGGAGTGTTTTCAGTTTGAGGGAAGAACATAAATGTACCAAATGACTCAACACTACCGAAGAATTAGGATTCTCTCTTTAACCACTTCCTCAGTTTTCTTGTATTGCTTTCTCTGTTTGATTATCGGCCTCAATTTAAGTTTATATGTATGCCAATTTTTTATTGTTTGGCTTTGTTTTTAAGTTATTACCTGTATTAAATGTGTATTACGTCAATTAAAAAAAGAAAAAAAGTTTAAGGGAGGAACTGAGCCTAAATATGCTGGGTTTGTGCTTTAAACATGAGTAAATGAAACAAAACACAACGCCAGGTATGTTTTTTGACGAGGAAACATTATAACATAGATCAGAAAATAGCGTAATATGGGCCCTTTAAAATCTAAGAATTAATACCTACTATAATTTATCAACAACTTGCAAATGAACATCATAGTTTTTTTAATAGAACCCTTTGCATACACTTAATCCTTATCCCATTAGTTCCTCCATTTACCTGGGTCCCTGGGTTTATTTATATTTCAGCGGATTAGTCGAGGAATTAGGATACAAATTAGCCTTATATCAACTTCACTCTAAAGTAGTTATCACATTACAAGTTGGGGCACTGCACTGGAGGAGCATGCTGTTTTCCCAGTGTTCAGTCAGATGATTTTATTGGCTAAGGTCCACGAGGGGGATGGGCTTACATCACCCCCAGTAACCTTTTAGTTTCATAAAAAGTGGCGCGATTGTTATTACAGCCAAATCGTGCTACATAGGCATTCGCTTGCTTGATTGATGCATGGAGATTATTTCTAACACTACTTAATATTACCAGATCATCACAGTATTCAGTGAAGAATAGGAAAAATACCTTTATTGTGCATTCATTGTGGCAGGTTTAGACAGCATCATATAAAAATAGCCCCAAAACAAACAACCACTGTGGCATTACACAACTGCAGCGGGGTGTGTCAGCTACTTTCTTCACAACACGCCCTTTCAGCAGCACTAAGCAGCTCCAGCCATATCACATTTCACTACAGCGCAGCGAACAGTGCAATCCTTCTGTATACGACAACAATGTGTGTATAGGGACCAAATCCACCATCCAGCAAGGCTCAATTTCTTTGGTCCTACGAGTGCATAAAGCTTCATAAAATAGAATTGCACCGAAAAATTGCTTAAAAATGTTAAAGGTCAGATATTACGCAAAATGGATTCTTGTGATACTTGCTTTAGTCATGTTATAATGTTGTTACTCCTCAAAAACGAACCTGGAGTTGTGTTTTACTTGATTCACATGTTTGAGTTTATTGCTGAAGGTGTATGGAGTTTAAAAATACAATCGGGCAATTTCCTGCACATGACATCGCGAAGGTGGGACAGTATTTTTGCTGTTTGAGAGATGAACTCTGCCTAAATATGCAGGGTTTGTCTGTTAAACATTTGTAAATGAAACAAAACACAACTCCAGGTTTGTTTTTGGTAAGGAAACATTATAACATAGATCAGAATACAGCGTAATATGGGCCCTTTAAAGGAGACACGTTACGCTAAATGTAGTTTTTTGGTCATGATTTCAAGGTAAACCATGTAACTTTTCAACTGAGGGGTTCGCTATATGCTCGTCTTCATGGAAATGTTATTGCTCTGCCTGGAAAGTTCCACAGTATGAGATTAAACGTATCCATCTTCCACTGTTCTTGCTCTTGCTTTTATCATGAATGGGGTCCCCTCTCAAAAATCTCAGGTTACAAATCTGACCTGTAACTTCACATGGCGTCACCTGGTTGTCTTCATGGAGATAGAAATGTTAAAACAATACCGGGAAACTTCCGCAGAACTTAAAACTTAAAAATAGCTCTTGTTCTCATTATGAATGTGGTCCCCTCTATACAAACCTAACTTACAACTTCATGTGGCCTCACCAGCTTGTCTCCATGGAGATAGCGACATTAAAACCATTCAAGAGAAGAAATATCTCCATGTAAACAAGCAAATGACAGACCATCCACCACAAAAGTACATAGAGCATTTTTATTATTGCACATGTTTTTTTATTTGTATATGCGTGCATGATTGTCTTATTATCGCAATGAGTAATCTATGTTGTATTCGCCTGCCATACTCCCTGGGGTTATATTCCATTGCTGCACTGTGGGATTTCTTATAACCCCAAAGGCTTTACAGGACAAGACACATTTAAGTGTGAAATGTGGGGGACAAAAACTTGGGAGGGACATTCAGAAAATTACTAGAGCCATAAATCAAACTCCAGACACTGCAGTTGGCGCAGAGGAAGCCCATGATCATAAGTGTTGCCTACACCAGATTAGACTCTTTTGCAGTACTGCTCCAAATAGTCTTTATTATAGCTTTGCAACTCTAACAGTAGTTGTTTATACTTTGAGCTTCATAAAAACTCCTTTGAAACTCCTTTGAAAATACAGTCTTTTGTGTCGTAAGCTGGTCTTTTGTATAGGGATGCACTAAGCTTTTTCTGTTCCGATACTGATGCCGATACTTTGGCTCTAAAGGTGCATTGTGTAACTTTTCTGGTGGAAGGTCCGTCAAATGCTTTTCTCCATGGAGATGTTATTGCTTTCCCTGGAATGTTCCATGGTGTTACTTTAAACATATCCATCGAGCAGGTGTCATTACAGGTGTTTCTATTGCTCAAAAATACAGTAATTCCTTCTATGAATAGGGGCGATTCTCCACAGATCTGAACTGTAATGTGCATAGTGCTGTAAACGGCTCATCTCCCTTTGTGATAGATAGGTTTTATCTATACTGTGGAACATTCTAGGCATTCTAGGGCAAACTTTTTGACTCATGGGCCACAAAGGGTTCTAAAATTTGAAGGAAGGGCCAGAGCAGGAGCAAATGGATGGAGTTTTTTGGTAATCCACCTCATAACAGAAAAAAAAAAAACATGGGATATGTAGAAAACATATCCGATGTTACTGAAATATCCCATAATTGAAAAGCATTATAAAGCATTACAACAAAATATCTGTCTTTCAAGTCCCATGGTATTTACCATTTACTGAAATTACTTTTAAAACACTGAAAATTATTATTATTACTATTATTCAAGTTCAGTGGGTCGGATTAAAAAGATTAAAAGGGCCGCATATGGTCCCCAAGCCGTAGTTTGCCCACCCCTGTTCTAGACAAAGCAACAGCGTTTCTATGGAAACAAGCAGGTAGCAGACCTTCTACCAGAAAACACAGTGCATCTTTAAAGTAGCTACAGAATAACTGAAAATATTGCAAGGTGTTTTGGGCCTACATTGTCCAGTAAATTGTCTTAATACACCAATTTATAGCCCAAAATGTAAGATCAGCTGAATCGATATCATGGAACCGATATCTGAAACCCTCTAAATTTTTTATGTTGGAGCTGATATAAGTATTGTTTTGGTGCATCTCTACTTTAGTATAACACAATTTTCAAGGCATCTAAGACCTGATTGCATTATTTTGGTAGTAGTACAAAAATACAAAGAGTGTACATTACAAGATTGTTTAAAAAGCCTGATTAAAGCGTAACATGTCTCCTTTAACCATTAAGTGCATATAGGATACTTTGTTGTGCAGTTGTGATATGATGCAGCTGCTAAACAATTTACACATGACTAAAACACATTCAAATATTGACCTTTTATACTATATGACCTGTACCTGTATGAACTTAAACAGAAGTAACATTGTCATCCATAAACAACTGTATTTGACTATTGAATGAAATGTTATTGCATATGCTCTCATAGAAAATGCAACCATTAAACAATGCACCGATCAAGCAAAACATTATGACCATTTACCACTAGAGTAAACTTTAAAGCACCAATAGTCTGAGCTACTAATCGTTTGGATCTTCTGTCTGTCTCAAACTACTATTAAGAAATGGCTGCGTATTGCTTTTCTTTTAATCTAACCACAATCTCTTACAGTTTAAGATGAAACTACAGTCATGTCAACATCACTATCAAACCTCATCAGAAAGTACATATAGAAACTAATGGCAGTGTGTGCAGAGCTGTTGCATTTGTTGCTCAGGGCGTCTGGGGTGGGTGGGATTCTGACCGTTGCCCGGGTAACTTAGTGTCCAGAATAGAATTAATAGGAGATAAGAAATTAGGATATTGAGTGTATCAATAAAATGTGCATTGTGTAACTTTTCTGGTGGAGGGTCCATCAAATACTTCTTCATAGAGATATTATTACTTTGTCTGGAATGTTTCACAGTGTGGCTTTAAACCTCTCTCTCTTTATGAAAAGCAACCCAGGCCAACTTACAGGTCAAATCTGTGCAGAGGCAACCCTGCTCACAGTCAGAATGCTTGTTTTTCTAGGTATTTTTGAGCTAAAAAAACACTTGTAATTGAATAAATGCAAAGTAGAGTTGTTTAATGTCATACTGTGGAACATTACAGGCAAAGCAATGGCATATCCACAGAAACAAGCAGATGACGGACACCCAACCAAGAAGTTACACCTTGGTGTAACTTTGATATATGATTTCATTATTTACAAAAAGCAAAACAAAAACAGAACCCATGTCATGTCAGTATCTTATCATGTGAGAATCTGAGTTTAAACCTAATATAACAATATAAAAACACTGTGCTCCTCCAGTGACGGTGCATCTAAGCCTCATTATTTAACTTAGCTCAACTGAGGGTGTAAGCGGTTTTAAATGAGCTTGCAGTGCACCGTTTTGCAGCCCCGTACAGCCGGGACTGTCAGTTACTCCCACTCCGGAAACAAGATTTGCAGATTTATGCAGAATGGAATTATCTGATGATGCCCTAAAAACACCTAATGCAAGCTAGATAAGTTTAATGCTATACTGTGGGACATTAAGAAGCACTCAATTCGTCTTGGACAGATGGGGGGGTTGTGCATGACTGGGAATGCCTCTGTAAACTGACCTCTGTAGACTAGAATACTGTTTTGGAGACACTCTAAACCAGTTCACGCCCCATACACCAGCCACTAACTATAAAAGAAGAAAAGATATTTTATTACTGTTAAAAGGCACTGTTGGCTACCAGATTTTTACCGTTTTAAAAACATGAAGATTTTTACATTTTTTTGCAGTGGTCCCAAGTATCAGAGCATCCTCAATATTCACCACAATAAGCACAACTTTCAGAGGCAAAAGCAGAGTTTACGATCACAGTAAAGCTAACAAGAATTAGCATGCTAACAGCGCACTTCCTGTTATTCGCACAATAAAACACATTATATTTAGATGCATTTTTATCTCAAGAGCTGCTTATACAATACAGGCAAAAGACATGATTTTGCTCAGATACCTGGAAGAAATCAAGTAAAGGGCCTTTAAGGTGCACTTTGTAACTTTTCGGTTAGGGGTCCGTCACCTTCATGTTTCTATGGATATGCTATTGCTCTGCTTAGAATGTTCCACAGTGTGACATTAAACAGATCTACTTTACAGTTCTTCAATTACAGGTGGTTTTATAGTTCAAAAATACCTAGAAAAACAGGCAGTCTGACTGTAAACGAGGTTGCCCTTCCACAGATCTGACCTGTAACTTGTAACTTGGTCTAGTTTGGTCTCCATGAAGATAAAAAGGTTTACTGTGAAACATTCCAGACAAAGCAATAACATTTCCATGGAGAAAAGCATTTGACGGCTCCTCCACCAGAAAAGTTACACAATGCACCTTTAAAGTCATAATATTGTGCTTAATCGGTGCTAAGCAATCTATACAACACTACACTTCGAAGTTTCCACATGGCGTGTTGCAACGTGAGACAAAAAGGCAGTGAAATTTGATATATCAGCAATTATTTGAGACATGCTTGTATGTTTTTGTAGCCAGTCATGATAATACAGACTTCTCATGTTGCTGTCAGTGAGTTCATGTTAATGTTGTATTTACAATGGAGCAGTGGTGGAAGGTTACGAAGTACAAAAGTAAAAGTACAATACTTCAGTACAATTTTTCACTTAAGTAAATTTTACAGTGAGTACTTTTTACTTTTACTTCACTACATTTCAGAGCAGGTATCTGTACTTTCTAATCTACTAATCTACTACATTTTAGATCTGAACTGAAAAGTAAAAAGTACTTTTCTTTATGGTTTGAGACCTGCTGAAATGGCTGAGACTTTATTTTTTGGCACATTTAATTTGAGTTTCCATCTCAACTTTGAGCAAACCAAATGCACAAAAACGGCAAGAAAAAATAAGTCAACTGAATCACTTAAAATCAGCCAAATTATTTATCAAAATCACAACATTTCATTCTTTAACTGTTCTAAAATCTCTGCAAAATACTTTTACTTTTTACGCTTAAAGTACATTTTTAAACAAGTACTTTAATACTTGTTCTTAAGTAGAATTTTTTTCCTGTGATGCTTTTACTTGAGTAACTTCTTGCCCTTGTATCTGTACTTTTACTTAAGTAACAAAACTGAGTACTTCATCCACCACTGCAATGGAGAAGATGTTTGTGTGTTGTATATGTACTGTATGTAAAATGATATAGCAGAGACTGAAAGATGAAAGATGACAATAGAAAAAATGCTATTCTGTTTGTATATAGATATATATATATATATATATAGTAACAATAAATTCACACTATCAAACCTCATCAGAAAGTAGAAATAGAAACTAAAGGCAGTGTGCAGAGCTGTTGCATTTGTCGCTCAGGGCGTCTGGGGTGGGAGGGACTCTGACTGTTGCCCGGGTAACTTAGCGCTCAGAATGGAGTTCATGTACGGCCAGATGCGGTCGGTGTCTGTGCCAGAAAATGAATGCAGGATGCCTTGAGACCTATAAGACAAAAAGAACAGATTAGAAGAAGATATAAGTGATAGAAATACAATAATACAAACATATCTATGATTTTATTTTTACTTGTATGTATACTTTTAAATAATTATGCTTTATTTGACACCAGTCCCTTGCTACTTGTAGAACTTATTTTGAATTTATTACTACCATTTATATTTTTGCTCTTTGTTTTTATCATTTATTGTGATGTGTGAGTTACTGTATCCAAATAATTTCACTTGTGGATCAATAAAGTTTGTCTAAGTCTTAAAGCTACAGTGTGACATTAAAGGGGCACCATGTAACTTTTTGGTTGGGGGTCCATCACCTGCTTGTTTCTATGGATATGTCATTGCTCTGCCTGGAATATTCCACAGTATGACATTAAACAGCTCTGCATTACATTTGTTCAATTACAGGCGGTTTTATAGCTCAAAAATATCAAGAAAAAAGGCATTCTGACTGTGAGCGGGATCGCCTCTCCACAGATCTAACCTGTAACTGTAATTTGGTCTGGTTTGGTCTCCATGAAGATAGAAAGACTTAACACCATACTGTGAAACACTCCAGACAAAGCAATAACATCTCCATGGACAAACCCTCTACCAGAAAAGTTACACAATCCACCTTTAACAGCTACTCAAATGGTGGTGGTAGAATTTAATGTGGTTTGTGACTAATGTGGTTTTGTGATTTTTCTGACATTGTGGCAGTACAGTTTGATGTATTTCTGCATTTCTGATGTATGTTTTGATAATAAGATTCTGTTCAAAGTTCACATTTTAAATCTGTCTGGAATAACTGACAATGGGTGAATACAAACTGACAAACTGATACAAGAATCACCTTTCTGAACATGCTTACACAGATCTAAACTACAGTATTAGCATCTTTTTATGCTGAAAAAGAGAATATTTAGTTGTCTATAGAGGGAATTACAGTATTTAAACTTTGCAGCCTTTGCAATTTGCTGACTTCCTCCGTTCAAACAGCATTTTTGATACTGTTGAGATAAATTTTGCAGGCCTGTATTCAGTCCGTTTTTTTTTTTTTTTTTTTTTTGAGCGATAGCCCAATATTTCTGACACAGGTAGAATAAAAACAAAACAAAAAACGAACTTGACACAGAAAGGCACAGGTGGGAGTTGAACCCAGAATCTTCTTGCTGTGAGGTGAGAGTGCAAGTATTCCAAAAGGTGTGAGATATTAGGATATAAAAGATATGAAATTATGATATTGAGTATATAGTTAAAGGTGCATTGTGCAACTTTTCTGGTGGAGGACTCTTTTTGGTGGAGCGCCTGTTTTTCTAGGTATTTTTGAGCTATAAAACCGCTTATAATTAAATAAATGTAATGTAGAGCTGTGTCATGCCATATTTTGGAACATTCCAGGCCAAGCAGTGACATCTCGATAGAAACAAGCAGGTGACGGACCCCCAACCAAAAAGTTACAAAGTGCACCTTTTAATATATAATTTAGTTGTTTATTATTATTTTTTAATAGTCTTTCAAATAATGTTAACCAGTGAGATTTCAGTGTTGTTGTGTTTGATTCTCAACTTCTGCTATTTAACCTACAGTATTTTGTGCTGAGTTCTGAGTTTTAAATACCCTTGTGGTTTTGCAGTGTTATGTAAATGTGAGCACTGTTCCCTTTTTTGATGAGTACATAAATCCTTATGAATCTGATTTAGTTCTTAAATTCAGTTTTGTTATTTTTATTTTATTTATTTTTCCACAGTAATCTTAATATATTGGAGAGGTTACCTAAAGGTGCATGATTTTGTGGGGGTTGGGGGTCCGTCACCTGGTTGTTTATAAGAATACGGTATGTCACTGGAATGTTCCACAGTACGACTTTAAACAGCTCTACCATTTATTCAATTACAGGTGGTTTTAAAGCTTGAAAAACAGGCATTCTGACATTGAGTGGGGTCGCCTCTCCGCAGATCTGACCCGCAACTTGTTCTGGTTTGGTCTCCACGAAGATACAAAGGTTTAATACCATACTGTGAAACAAATAACAGCTCCATGAACAAGTATTTGATGGATCCTCCTCCAGAAAAGTTACACAATGCACCTTTTAGTCAGTGGTTTAGTCATTTTTCTGTTTAATACATTTTTCCACAGCAGTCTTAATCCATTCATTAAACACAAGTATGTAATGAGGTATTATTATAAGCCACTCTTTTAGACTTTTTAACCCAAAAGTTGGCAGTTTGAGTTGTGTCCTTGGGCAAGACACATTACCCTCCTTGACCATGTATTAGTGTGTGGTATTATGTAAGAATTAGACATACTTTGGGTAGTGTTCTGTATGCTTTGTTTCCTTACTGAAATACATTTAAACTCCAACTGATTTTACAAATAATCAAACCTACTTGTAGAGGTCTAAGACAGGCTTGGCAACATCTTTATAGTGTCTCAGTCTGGCCATGAGCGCTTCTGGTTTGTCATCTTCACTTTGAACGAGTGGCTCTCCAGTGACGTCATCTTTTCCCTGGGATGGACACAACAAAAGGTGACTCCACAATACGAAACATACAGAACATAACATGAATAGATAGAAAGAAAAGGCATCCGGTTTCAGTTGGTATGAACAAAGGTAAAGACCAATGAATCACTGGTCTTAAAGATCGTATTATGCAAAATTGACTTGTGTGAACTCTTAGTCAAAACACAGCTGGAGTTGTGGTTTGTTTCTTTCAGACATGTTTGAGTGATAATGGTTTATTGGTGTGTTTATACCTTGAAAGCCCAAAATGTGTTCAACCTTGTGATGTCATGAAGCGGTAGTTTTTAAGTTAACAGCTCCTTTTACCTTTAGTTCAGTTGAGATTGGCAATTCCAGGGCTGTTATCCATGTGTCTAGTGACAGTGTATAGGGTTTAAAAACACTTCCTGTATTATCACATGACATTACAAGGTCGAACAGTGTCACAGAGTGTTTTCTGTTTTTGAAAAGAACCTCCTAGAAAGACTAAATATGCAGGTTTGTGTGTTAAACATGTGTGTATGGCATGTTTAACACACCAACATGACTCCAGATATGTCTGTGATGAGGAAACAATATTATAACATGGATCAGAAAATACCCTATAGGCCTGTCAATTGTTTTTTTTTTGTTTTTTTTTTCAATTATTATTAAACAAAAATTATTTCAGTAGAAGTAGTGTCAGTTTTACATTAGAAAAGCTGAAATGTTGAAAGAAAAAACAAAACAAAACAAAGTACAGTTCTAAAAAAACAAACAAAAAACAAACAAATTCCATCCAAAATGCAGGCACATTTTACATGCAAGTAACAATTTTCTGATTGTTTAAACATTCAGTTATCAATATAAGGGTATTATCATATATTTTTATTTGTCCAGTGATAACTATTATGTACATTAGACAAGCTATCAGACATAATAACAATGAAAGTATTTGAAAATTGAAAATCAAATATATTGTTTATAATAAGAAAACTCAGAAAACCACAAAAAGAGCTGAGAAAAAATTGATCTCTGTCTTTGTTCGATACTCAACCAAGACATTAAAGGTGCACTATGTAACTTTTTGTGGTCCATTACCTACTTGTTTCTATGGATATGTCATTGCTCTGCCTGGAATGTTCCACAGTATGACATTAAACAATTGTACTTTACCTTTATTTAATTACAAATGGTTTAATAGCTCAAAAATACCTAGAAAAACAAGCATTGAGACTGTGAGCGGGGTTGCCTCTCCACAGATCTGACCTGTACCTTGGTCTCCATAAAGATAGAAAGGTTTAATGTCATACTGTGAAACATTCCAGCCAAAACAATAACATCTCCACGGAGAAAAGCTTTTGACGGACCCTCTACCTGAAAAATTACACAATGCACCTTCAACAGTCACGCTTTAGCACACAAGTTTCAGCCAATTGTAAGAGAGAAAATGTTTAAAAAGTTCAGATATACATTTTTACGGACCACCTCTATTCCCAGAGTGATCTGATTTGCAATAGTGGGACTGACCGTGACTCTTGGGGGGTTAAAGATCATGTTGTAGACCCTGCCGCTGGCCGGGTGGATCCATTTGTCGCTCAGTCTCTCCTTTAGGGTCTCAAAGGGGATGTTCAGACTGATCACCATGTCCAGCTGGTAGCGCGCATTCAGAGCCTGGGCCTGGCCGATGGTACGAGGGAAACCTAGAGATGAAAAAACACACAATGAATAGAGAGATGGAGAGAGAGCGTGAGAGGGATAGATAGAGAGATAGAGACCTTTATTACAAACCCGTGGTCCAGAATAAAAAAACAGACAATCTAAAAAAACAAAAAATAATAAGAGGCTCCTGACCTCTTAGAAAACAACTGTACCAGTGTTTCCACAGCTGATCACTGTATCCAATATGAATCAACAATAACATCATCACTAGTTATTCAGACGGGATAAACATTTACGGGTATATAATATTGATACCGACAGTTCACTGGCACTTGTCCATCTCTGCCTTTTAAACAGAAGTCTAGTGAAGAGCGAGGTGCAGCACTTTTATAAAACTGGTAAGATGAGAATGTTACAGAGAGAGAGAGACAAAGAGAGCAAGAGAGAGGTAAAGAGAGACAGCTTGCAGTGTATTAACTCTTGAGGATACCAGCAAATCAACGATACTGGTTCATCGGGGAATTTTAAACAGAAGCAACATTTAAAGCCACTGTCAGTCTCTGTAGGTAAATTTTTCTATCGTTCACCCAAAAATGTGCAGTTAAGAGCAAGGTGCAGTACATTTGGAAACACTGGTAACATGAGAATGTTACAGAGAGAGAGGGGAGATAGAGATAAAAACAGAGAGAAAAAGAAATAGAGAGGAGGGATACAGAGAGAGAAGGAGGGGCAGTACATTTCTAAACACTGGTAAAATGAGAATGTTGAGATATTTTTTCTACAGTGTCTTAGGGTGCTCCCTGTTGAGTCCTGGTTCGAGTCCAGTTTAGAGCAGATTGTAGACCTGGTTTCATCCGGTTCTAGTCCTGGTTTAATCTGAAACTAGTTCCAGTTTAGTCCCAATTTTGATGTGTAAGCACGAACGTGACTTCATCCAAATAATTCACTGGTAAAGAATTATACATACATTGTACATACATACACAAGATATATCTAGACTTTTGTTTATCTTTACAAGTTCCACCAGATTATTATTTTGTGTTGAAATTCACAGTCTATTTTCTATTATCATTTTGTATCAAATTTGGTGTTAAGTATCAAGCCTATTCCTTGGAAGAAAGTTTATATTTCAGAATCGTAAAAACAACGATGTAACTTTTTTGGTGGTGGGTCCATCAAATACTTTTCTTCATAGAGATGTTATTGTTTTGTCTGAAAGGTTTCTCAGTATGGCATTAAACCTTTCTATAATCATGGAGACCAAACCAGTCCAAGTTACAGGTCAGATCTGTGGAGAGACAACCCCACTCACAGTTAGAATCCTTGTTTCTTGAGCAATAAAACCACCTGCAATTGAATACATGTCAAGTAGATCTGTTTAATGTCATACTGTGGAACATTCTAAGCAGACCAATGACATATCCATTGAAAAAGATGACAGACCCCCAACCAAAATGTTACACAGTGCACCTTTAATGTAATGTAAAATAAAAGGGAAAATCTTTATCTTTTACAACTTCTGCTATTACTCAACTACTGTTTTGCTCTTCCCATTTCTTACCAAACTCAGTCTCTTAAAGCTGCGTGTCACATGGATAACCACTAAAACCACAAATGCAAGTAATGCATGTATGGCTAAGTGCATTTCTAACACTTTTTGTTTGTTTGTTATGTAGTCTGCAGGGTTGTCAAAAGTATCCTAAATCAGATACTAATCAATACTAAAACTGGATACTCCTTTGAGCAGGTATTGATACTAGAAGACTTTTCTAGTCACAGGAGAGAAATTAACCTTTCCTGAATGTCTTTAGAATGATCTTGAGCTGTATCAGAACAAGTATAAGAGCACATAAACTAGTATACGCCCATGGAACACTGTGGAACCTACCTGGACCACTGAGGGAGTACATGGATATAAAATCTCATTGTAAAAAAATATATATAAGAAAGTCCTATGATTTAATATTGAAAATCACATTCTACTGTCTAATTAAAGAGTGTTTTTTTATTGTCATTGTAGTATCAAAATCAGGCTCAAGTTTATTCCTTAGTATCGAAATCGAGTTTGAAATTTCACTATCATGACAACACTAGTTTGTATGCACCACAACACTGCAAATATTCACCAAAAGTTGTTGCTTTAATGTTATGAGTTATGAGTTTTGGTTGGGATAATACCTGCCCATAATATCGAAGATTTATACAGTAACATGGATTACTTGTAAGTAAGTACAAAAGTAAAGGAGTGCCTACAGAATGGGTGTCTTCTTGCATTCCTAGAAGTTTTAATAATTTGTTTAGACGATAATAGCCAGGCGTGTCTTGGTCATACAACAAACTTGAACTTAAGTAAATGAAAACACCCTTTGTTTAGTGTGTAAATATTGGAATACATGTATATGAGTTTCACTACTGAAAACATTACACTTCGTTTTTGCTCATTTTGTTATTTGAATGCACAGTTGACATATTTCAGAGCTAACAACTGCATAAGTGTGTGTATAAATAAACACACAATAAATGGGACAATGATAAAGTCTGTGATGACATTGTAAGATAACGATGCTGGTGAAGATGGCAAGTCAACACAGGGAGTATTTTGGAGTATTTTTGTTTTGAGTAATGTTTGCTTGTGCTATTTGTATTACTTTTTATAGCTCAGAACTGTTTGCAGATCAATACATCAAGGCTAAGATGTATTTGATAATATTGTGTGTTCAAAATTATCAAAAAAAAAAGAAAGAAAAAAAATCAATTTCTTAAATGCAAAATAAAAAAAATTATTAGACATAGAGTTGCAATAACAAATATTTATGAGCTAGTAGCAGTAGAAAGAGAAAAAACTTGTAACTGTATTGTATGTAGCTTGGGGCAATGGACAAAATTACAAACAGATGTTATGGGCTTATATTTTACTTGCTTAATTAGTCTTTTGTATAAGCCTCGACATGTTGCAAAACTTACCATTTATCTAACTTGCCTCCAGAGATTTGGAGGGTGGTGGCGAGTTGGACCAATCAGATTTGAGCCTGACAATAATTACAACTGGCACAAGATTCTCCTTTGAAGTGAACTCATCCAGTACCACAGCTATGCACGCCGTATGATGCTTATATCGTACGGAGGTATTAGGAATGTAAAAGTCTAACTAATGGTGTAAGAATAGACCGTGTCAAGAGACCTGACCTTCCAACAGCCAGCTGTGTCCACTCAGTTGTTCCAGTCTGGGGAGCATAAGCCTGGTCACTACGTGGTCCGGCACCAGCATTCGTTTGTCTATGTAGGATTTCACCAGGACACCTGCCTCTAATGCACAATAAACAAATCAGTAATGCAAAACAACAGTGTAATCTTTATTAAAAAAAGCCAAAAAACAAAAAAGATTATCAGTACAGTAACATTCCTAACCTCAAACGCCCCTGTCCTTAAATGACCTAAGCTCTAAATATACAGTATAGGCATCCTAAATAGCTGGAATCTGTAATAAGGATTTACTAAAGGTTAGACTGGTTTGCCAAAATTATATTTACACGGATGAATTTGGTCATGTGGTTCTGTTTAATTGATCCCAGTTGGTTTGGTTGCTAGAATAAAAATCTTAAAGGGACCTCATCCATTTTTGACAGGAAATAACACTGGAAAATTATACTGTTTGGCAGGAAGATTGGACATTCCTGGTAAAACTGCTCAACTCATGCTTCTCAAGAAAATTCTAGCAAACATAATCGTCAAAAAAAAAACAGATCACAGCGCGCGTGCCTTCCTGTTTCTGTGCCCCATGTTGACACGAACCGCAGACACCCCTCTTTTTCTGTTTGTATCCTACCTGTTTCATTTGCCGCTACGATTTCCTGCAAAAAATGTGCGCACGATAAATATTGGAGCCCGAAGTTCTGCGCGATCCTCTTTGATATGGTTCCTTTGCCTGATCCGGGTGGACCCATGATAACAGCACGGAATAACTTGGCCATGGTTTCCTCAAAAAAAAAAAAAAAAAAACGATTCCAACTATTGCACGCACGCACAGATTTTCACTATTACCGGATTTGGAGAAAAGGAGACACGTTAATTATGCGTTAATGAATTGGCTGAGCGCAAGGATAGTCAAACATTCGTGGTTTCTCAGAGTCAAACCCGGTTGCAACTCGACTCCACAGTTGATAGTTTCACTGTACTGCCACTGCGCCGCTATGAGTCAGTACAGCACCGTTTTTTTTCTTTCCTTTCTTTCCGCGAAGCTCTTTGGATGTAAAAGCGCTTCTCTACGTCTTTAAGAGCACATCGGGCTTCTCAGCGAATGAATGAGGGAGTCTTCACAACGCCCTATTTCTCTCCGCGCATCATCTAGGAAAAATCCGGATAGGCTGTTGACTGTCTCATGTACAAACGCAGCGCTGCCATCTGGTTAATGTAGTTTTTGTCACGTGATTGCTGTAGTCCCAAAGCAATGTGGGTGAACTGAAATGCCTTTTTAATAACAAAAAAAAAAATAAAAAAAAAATACTTGGGTTCGCTGTAACTAGCCTCAAATATTTAGAAAATCCTCGAGTTCAGTTGGTGTCAAATGTTGTAGTCCAATTTCCCACGTTAAAGTTAAAGCATGGTCTTATATGGCTGTTGTTTTTGTGTTTCTATTTATAGCCAGACTGCTTAATATTTCATTACATTGTGTTTGTTTAAATATTTATGTGTTGTTTGACATACCAGGCATATTCTTTGTTGAAATTCAGTAAAGGAATGTACAATAGGGTGGAAAAAGCGTAGTGATTAATGCTGAATTTCCAATGAGGGACAATGCATTTAATATACAGCTAAATATAGAAATTATGACATAGGCTTACTCTAGATTAGCCAAGTTTAAAATAACTGTACCAGTAGCAGTAATAATATTAGATAGCCTTTGGGATAAGTTGTAATTGAATGTAATTAGATCCCTATTAGCAGGTCGGTTAAAATAAATAACAATAATAACAGTCATTAGAATGCAGTTAAAGATACCACAGACCCTATGTTTACTTCTCACTTGCAATAAGAAATCAAGTTTGATTTGCATAATTTGAATTCAGGAAATACATTTGAAGATTCAATACTCTACTTTTTATGTGAAGGGTCTGTCACCTGCTGTCTCCATGGAGATGTTATTCCTTTACCTGGAATGTTCCACAGCATGGCATTTAACATATCTACCTCCCAAAGACAAATACGGTAAGTGACAGATCATATCAGTGGAGAGGCTACACCACTCACAGTAAAAGTACATGTTTTTCAAGGTAATCAAATATAGCCTGAATAGCAAATAATAAAGCTCATATTGAGGATGATACTAACTTAATGTTGTAATTAAGTAAAACATAAATTACAGTATGTGTATCTGTATTTGAATCTGTATCTGTGTCTGATTGTGGACAAGATGTAAATAAATATATATACTGAAAATGGCTCAATTCTGATGGCAGTGTTTTTTGAAGTTTTGCATCGTAATTTTTTTTTGTATTAAATTCCACTTCTGGACTGTAACGGACAGGCACACTGTGTGTCTGTGTGTGAGAACTGAGAACTGCTCTGAGAATCTTGCAAATGAATTGCCCTCTGGGATCAATAAACATTTCTGAAACTGAACTGAAAAACATACTGGGAGGAATCTTGCAAGTTCATTATAGTTCAATAAATAACACTTTTGCATTGGGCAGAACTATGAAAAATTAACCCCCTGGTGTGACAGGTCAGTGAAAAATAATTATTTACTCCTGTGTAGATTATTGTCAAGAAAAAGGTTTCAACAAATAACTTGTAATACAAACAGAAATGTAATACAAATAGCATATAGCAAGTATTGCTATCTATGTCATCACGTCACAAAGTCGTTGCAGATTTTATCATTGTCCCATTAACTGTGTTTATTTAGTCAGACTTGTGTAAATTTGAGCTGTCCCAAATATGTAAAATGTGCCTTAAGATGACAAAATTAGCAAAGACAAGGTGTAATTTTTCAGCAGCCTAATGCCATATTGTGGAACATTTTAGCAATAGAAACAACTCCATAGAATCAAAGAGGTGATGGGCTCCACTATATTACACAAAACTGACTCTTGTGAGCTTTAAGCCATGTTATAATGTTGTTACCTCATCAAAAACATACCTGGAGTTGTGTTTTGTTTCATTCACACGTTTGAGCAACCCTGTATTATTAGTCTGACTACATCTCCAAAGCTTAAAATGCTTCGTTCCAACTTGTGATGTCATGTAGTAATCAGGTTAACAGTTGCCTTTTACCTCAAGTTCAGTAGAGACTAGCAATTCCAGGTCTGAAATTATCCAAATGATTCTAGTGAAGGTGTATGGAGTTTAAAAACACAGTGGAGTACTTCCTGTATTACCACATGACATCACAAGGTGGAACACAGTGTTTTCTGTTTGAGAGAAGAACCCACCCTTGTGGTGTCAAACATGGATGAAACAAAACACAACTCCAGGTATGTTTTTGATGAAACAACATAAAAACATAGATCAGAAAAGAGAGTAACATGGACTCTTTAAACCTTCTCTAATATTTATGGATAAAAACAAAACGATCATCTGCTCGGGCAAGTCACAACGTGTAACATTATTTGAGTCTTGCGCTTAACTGCTGTTACGTTAGGTTTACCCTTCGTGGACCACTTGTTGACAGCAATTTACACAAGGCTTTCTCTCTTTTTATAGCTGATGTGTTTGTTTCTTGCGAATGTGCCGAGTTTGCATTAGGAGCAGTAGCAGATAGACGCTTATGTTGTCACAGCTCGCACGTTGCTTTGAGAACGGGCGGAATTCATATCGGGAGGACTTGTTGCGAGCCAGAGCTGTCAAACATTGCGCACAGCCGTCTCCAGTCAGTAAGTAACCACGTACCAGACTAATCCATCACACAAACAAGTCGGGCAGATTAACCTTTTTCTTTTACAACAGCGTTCAAACTACGCGTATTCTCCGTGCATGTCCGGAAGCTTGTTTTTGTTAAATCATGTGCATTTTTATGTCACATGGCTTTGGAGATTTCAATAACAACAAAAAATGGCGACAATCACGTTGCTCTGTGTGGTCTTGCTGCGTCATTAAAAATATTCATGTAAACACGAGGATTTCAGCGTCCAAATTTCTGGTAAGTCGTCTTCAGATTTGACTTATGTTCAATGCAAGGTGGAATCCGTGCATACGTACTCTATATGTTTGGATCCATTTCAGCATGCTGTTTGTTTTTGCCCAGAAAAGGGGTGTGTATGCAATGCCAAGCTGGGCGTTAACGTTTGGCTTTGCAATATATTTCAATTCTAAGATTTTAACACGAAATCACGTCCTTGAAGCTTAATTTAGGACACGTCAAGCCTTCTTAAACCGTATATAGGTTATATAATGTAACGGCATGTGCGTAAATAGCCATGCGTTTGAGAATTAGCTAACTTTTCTTTATTTGTAGCAACAAGCGAAGGTGCATTTGACTTCCCAACGTGTTCATTCACAAATAAAAGTTTATTCCTTTCTAATTTAAACGTTAAATCTATATATCAGACCACGCCGTGCATTTTAACCCCATGCGTATGTTGACAGATTACGCATTGAATTTAATCGCTTTTTACACACCACGGCCACGAACTATATCCTCAAATACAAACCTAGCTTTAGCTTTGCCACTGTGATGTGTTTTCTGGTGTTTTACATGTGACATGCTCATTTTGCAGCGGGTCTAATGGAGTTGTTTACATCAAGTGCAGAGGGCGGACTGGGCTGCGAGGGCGGAGGAGCGTCTGCCGTGCCAGCGACGCGCGCAGACTGCTCGAGGAGGGGGCGGGGCTCCAGACAATCATAACAAGTCTGACGTCACTCGATCCAACAGAAAATAGAAAGGCAGTAAGCTTTTTATTAGTGTGTCTGTATTCTTTTTATCTTATTCTAATAGTATTTTATTGAATTTTGGATAGATACAATATATAATAATAATGGGTCTACTTAGCCATGGCTATTTTTATAATTACCAAATAATCACAATAGAGCTAGTTGATCCCATATCATGTGATCAAGTTCATACTGAATATCATAGTAATTAATTTTTTGCAGTAGCAGCCTACATTACCAAAACATGAATTACAGTGTCTAAACTTTATTGATCCCAAAGAAAAATCAGTTTTCATCCGCAGTAACAATGAAACAAACATAGCAATAGCAGTCCATTGATTCATCATTATATAGCACTTTTTATAGATAAAAATCACAAAGTAGGGTTTATGTTAATGTATCTGTATTAGACTTGGAACAAGAAAAAAATTATGAAAAATACTTAATACTGAGTTTGTGCTGCGTGCTGTGTATGTGGAAATCTTTGGCAAATTCCTTATAGGTCAATAAATGGCACTGTTGCATTGGGACAAAATGTGAATAATTAACAGGTATGACATGTCAAGTAAAAATAATGATTTACTCCTTTACAAAAGCAAAAGTTTTCAATAAATAACTTGAGAAATGTTCCAGTCTAGTCTGTACCAGGAATGGAGTAGTTAAAATTGCTCATTCTTGGACAGGCGTATTTAAAAGTTGTGTGTGTTAAGTCTATTGCCGAAGGACACAGTGACAATATGCGCACCATTTTTGGGTCATATTATCACTTGATCTGGTCACTAACAAAGAGGAAATAAAGTTGATAAACATTAAAAACTTCAGTGGTTTTGATACACTTAACTACAACATCTCCACCTGCTGCTTTGTTAAAATATTTATGATGTGATTTGCTCATTTGAAATACGATAAATGTCCTTGAAAATGTAATATTCGTATGTTAAATTGCTTGTATGTATGTATGAGTGACTATAATCCCAGTGTTGAAGATACCGGCCTGCTTTGGTGTGGACTGCGTGGACTTGCGGGCTGCCCTGGTTCAGTTATCACAGTGCTGATGCTGTCCCCATCGAAGGTACAGTACTGTGATAACTGAAGGATGGCTGCCAACTGGACCCAAGAGACCCAGGAACCAAAAGACCCAGGAACCCAAGAACCAAGCAGAAAGGAGAACCTACCAAAACCAAGAACTTCACTCGAATGCCACAATAATTACTATATCGACTTATTGTTCAATATATGATAGATGGAACAATATGTTTGGGGCGTGAGTATTTATCATGGGTATTTTTTCTTTGTAATAGTGGGATATTTTTGGTTATTTGTTTGCAGTATGGTAAGATTTGAGCTGTAGAAGGTTGATTAAATAACTTCTATGACTCATCACAGATACACACTAATTACTAAAGGTGCATTGTGTAACTTTTCTCATGGAGGGTGCGTCGAATGTTTTTCTCCATGGAGATTTTATGGCTTTGTCTGGAATGTTTCACAGTATGATATTAAACCTTTCTATCGTCATGGAGACCAAACCAGACCGAGTTACAAGTCAGATTTGTGGAGAGGTGACCCGACTCACAGTCAGAATGTAAATTTTTCTAAGTATTTTTGAGCTATAAAACCAACTGTAATTTAACAAATGTAATTTAGAGCTGTTTAATGTTACACTCAGGTAGAGCGATGACATCCGTAGAAACAAGGTGACGGGCCCTCCACCAGAAAAGTTACACAGTGCACCTTTAAGTAATTAGTATGTATCTGTAATGAGTCATAGAAGTTATTTATTCAATGTTCAAGTGTTACATTCTACTATTTCAGCTCATGTTTTTTAAATATAGCACAGTATGAATAGTTTTCTGGGGGTTAATTTTGCTTCATGGTGTGGTTTTATTATTATGGCTTATCTTCTGTTTTTACTTCAGCAGTACTTCACTTCAAAATATGTTATCGTGACAGGCCTAACAATGCGTCTACAAGCATTCAGCTATGACTATGCGATGTGGTTTAAGGTTCTTACCACTAGACCTTTCATCATAATACTGCATTGACTATTGCTCAATAAATTCAAGATGAGACAACATTCTTTTGGGTTCAGTATTTATTGTGCGTACATTTTGTTTGTAGTCTTGTAGGGAGCTTTTTGTTATTTTTTTCTTAGTACCATAAGTTTTGAGCTGCAGATTCCTAATTGTGTCACTGTCATAAATCATTTTTATTGCAACAGGCCTTTTTGCCATTGTTTTTTCATGGTTTTAATTAAGAGATTTTTTCTTGTATTCATTTATAATAAGTTATTGCAATAACAACAGACGAGTGTTGCAATAGCTTGTGGTAACACTTCTGTGTGTAGATCCAATAGTAAATAAAAGTTGCTCGCTGAACATTTCTTATTCTTGTTTTGGACATATATTTTAAACTAATAATCATAAGACAATCCAAAATGATTATCACTATTTATAGCCATGGTTAATTTGAAAGAAAAAAATATTCAAATGGACTTTTTTGGTGATTTAACAAATTACAATTGCATAAATAGTTGATTTTATAGCACCGTATCGGATAAAAATAAGTAATAAAAGTGCAATAAAAAATGTAAACACTAAGACAGCAGTAAACAGATAGCAGATAGTAAACTTTAAAAATTACACTGGTCTAAGATGTTGTTTTACGTGTAAGAGCCTGTATGCATTACCGAAAGTTGGCAGTAGATGGAGCCAGAGTATTAAAGTGCCCCTTCAGACCATCTCATATAGCAATCCCAGTTTAAGAATAAAATAACACAAATTCAACCTTTTTATGTTATAATAATTGCCACACTGAAATACAAATGCATTCTGGTCACTCTGGCATATTAATGTTTAAAGAGACAGTATGTAACTTTCTGGAGGTGGAGTGCATATCTCCATGGGAAAAAAAGAAGTTAAAGCCATACTTTAGAACTTTTTCCATGGAAATAGATAAGGCCTTACTGTGGAATATTATAACAAAAGGAACCACATTTCTATAGAGACAAGCAGAAAGACAGACGTTTATAAAGTCAGGTTTATGGAGATGTAAGTGCACGCAGTAGGACGCGTGTTTTTCTCATTATTATTATTTTTTTTCAGTCTTAAACAAAAAAGAAACAAATATATAATAATAACAATTTCAGGTGAAAAATGACATGTTGTGGCTTTAAATAATAGCGTGTTTTGGAACAACACCTCATCTGCTGTCCCTTCATTTGTTACCACTGAGCGAAAATAGTGGAAATCCCCCAACATCCTGAGCACATGATAGCTGTGTTTCAAAGCTGCTCTAACCCCAGATTGTCTTTTTGTTTTTATCAGTGTATTTTTGAACTTTCGGTCTCTTCTGTGAGAACTAAAACCTAACGTGACACGAGACTTGGCCTTTGTATGGTCACTTCAACGGCGCTATGGGGAATTTCTGCTCAATTTCCTTTTAATAAACGAGGCAGCGCACTTTGGGGATGCGCCCTGGGAACTCCCTCCCTTAACTGTTAACGTCCCACGGCTTTTGTTGGACGCAATCTATTATATTTTGTATGCAGATGTATTAGGATATCCTCAAATGAATACTTATGAACATACTTGTACAACCCAGGGATATTACTTCCTTGTAGCGTTTTGGTTCCTTATAAATACGCAAATCTAACAAATCTAACAAAAGAGGCTGGTTATGCAGTATTTGAAATCCCTTCCCTACAAGACAAATAAAGACAAGAGGAACAAAAACACAAAAAACACTGCAAAATGAAGCTATGGGCTGTGCTGCTCTCATTAAATTGTCAAAAAAAAAAAAAAAAAACCTAAAATTTCCAACTTGATATCACTGTAAGGGAAGGACTTGATCTATATCACAATGATGACTGAGCAATGATGTGTTATATGATAGAATGTCACAACATGATACACAAACACAAAACTGTTTCTTTAATATAACCATGTGGCCTTTTACTCGTTCTGATGCAGAGTCCAATAGCAGCTACGTGAAAGGTTGAGTTGTTCAGTTTTGAGTGCGTGTAATGAGTCAGCTATCACGGTAATCAGATTACTTTTTTTTAAGTAACGCAGTAATCTGATGTATGGACAATTTGTGATTAGGCTACAGTTATTAGCCCTATGACTTTTAGCTGTGAACCAAAACAAATACAACTTAATATGGAGCACTGTTTGTGTGCGCTTTGCTGACATTTGAAATAAGGTTAAAAACAAGAAGTGCATTTTAGGCATTAGTAATTTATGGTAATCTGTCATTTAGCTTTTGAAATCAAGTAATCTGAGCAGTAATTACTTTAAAATTAGTCATAAGAACTCATTAGTCATAGGCTAATACAGATTTGTACATTGTCTAATTAAGATTTAATAAAGAGCTGCGATGATGAGTGAGTATTTTCATCTTCTTACATAACCTTAATCCTAACACTAAACCTAAAATAACAATATCTATGGGTTGAGTACCCTATTCAAGAAATTCACTAGAATTTATAATTGAAAAATGAACACCACAAGGAAGGTCTATGCTTATAGAAACCCGAGAGGACATGGGAGTGGGGACAGTCCCCTTAACACAGATATGGTCAGTTCTCTGTGAAGCTGAGACTGCATGAATAGGCTACATGAGCCCACATTATCACTCCTGAGTAAATCCACAACACTATCACTATACTATCTATCTATCACTCAACAACAGCAGTAACAGGCATAAGGCAAATGTCATATGTTTAAAGAAGACATATTATGCATTTTAGCAATAAACCATTACATCATAATGTTACATTTTGTTAATTTGAAACAGCAAATTAATCTAAAATGTCTCAGTATAATAAATTGCATTATTGACTTTCTGTTTAAAATAAATAATTGATAAGCCCCGCCTTTTCATGGTTGCATTTAATCAGTAGATGCTAGCCTATTACTTTTGAAAAATGGTCTACACAACATTTTCAACTCTATATGAATTTTAAATGTTGTTTATATTAGTACAGGGAAGTGGACGAAGATGGGTGGTAGGTGAAAACTTCCTGAGCACTCAAGCCCCAAACACAGGACAATAGGGTACACTCAAGCAATCAAAATCCAAAACTCTGATTAAAAATATGATGAGGAAACAGCATTATAACATGTTTTTTTTTTTTAGAAGATTCATTTAGCATATTTCACATAAAGGCCAGCGGCAAAGACAATCCCATATTAACCTTGAACTTAAGCCAGAAAGAATCATTTTCAACTTCAATGAATTACAGCAGTTGTGACGTCACCTTGACTGACAGGCGTCTCGGCCAATCAGAGGCGACGTCGTACAAAAGGCCACTGCGTTGTTTTCGAGAAGGGGCGGGTACTTGTCAGGAAGGGGATCTGTGGGTCCGTCTGTGAGCGAGAAGCGAACCAGGGACTTGTTTGCGGACTTTTACGGCTATTAAACCTGAAAATACATTGCGTCTATATTATTCTGGATGAAAAAAATTGCTTTACACCTTATCGGTTCACAAAATAACACGACAGATCTCTGCAAATAGCACCAGACTGTCTAATGCAAGATCCGAAAGGGAAGTAAGTTGCCAGCAGCTGTCTGGCTCATCTAGCTAGGTAAGTACATGTCGTTTCTTTTTGTTTTCCTTTTGAAAGTGTGTCCATCAGCTGTTATATTTGCATAAACAGATCCATCGTTCGTGTTTTTATTGTGTTTTGTTATTGTCAAATTCAGGATTAGTCTGAGAATCTGAGTTTTTGACCATATGGTTAACATTACGAGCTAACGCAATCCACTTGATATGACATAGTACTTACGCGGATCTTGCCATTCTCCGCCCTATGGTCAGTACCAAAGAGCTGTTTCGGAAATATTATTAAATAAATCATCTTAAATTACTACTTAAACTTTTAATAGTAATGATCCAGAGCTTGGTAAAATTACATAGTTGTTTCAAGAGAGTATTAAGCCTTAATGATGCGATGTTGGTGCGTAAAATGAAAAAATGTGGAGCCTACGAGGGTCTACGTGACAAAATTGACAAGGAATAGGCACAACTCAGTTATTGTGTGGGAACTGTTGTAAAAGAGTAATTACTGTGACAGATAGCTGTATAAATATTAAATCATGTAAATTAAATCATGTTTTTAAATGCTTGTTGTTTTTTGTGTAAATTTATATTTTGGGATTGATTGTTCACAGATGGTAGTCCCATTTTTATTTCTATTAAAATCAATATAATTTTCCCAAAGGAGGTTTTCAATTTCTCTCACATCCATTAACTTTCAGCCACATTTTGTTGCCAGTTTGAGTATGCAATATTTGTCATATTTGTTGCTGTTTTGTTATTGTCATTTTCAGGTAAAAAGTGGCCTAGCATTTCCTCAAATTGCTGGTTGATAATCCAAATTCTGTGGTTTACTAACAAATGTCATTTGATTTTTGTTCTCCAAAAAAAGACACTGATTTTCACTTTCCTTTCCTGTGTACATTACATTGTAACTATGCAGAGGTGAATATCCCTGTAGTGATACTCAGACTATGTAACGTCAGTCCTGCAAAATTCTGTTGAAAGCATGTCTTTAAATGGGTAAATTGAGGTTTAAGTATCAGACAAATGCAGAAAAAAAAATGCATTTTACAGCAACATTTTTTTTAACAATTTAAATTTGTAATCAAAAGTTTCTATTATAAACTATATACTTGATGTTCAAATCCATAATATTTTGAAAATCTCCCCTCTTTGCACTCACACTATGTAAACAAGGAGCTAAAATAAAAAAAAGATGGGCTTAAACACTATATTACACAAAATGGACTTTTGCGAGGTTTTAACCATGTTATAATGTTACCTCCTCCAAAACGTACCTGGAGTTGTTTTTGTTTCATTCACACGTTTGAGTAACCCTTTATTATTAGTCTGTCTACACCTCCAATGCTCCAAATGCTCTGTTCCAACTTGTGATGTCATGAAGTGAAGGTTTTCAAGTTAACAGATACCTTTAGTTCAGTAGCGATTGGCTATTCCAGTGCTGAAATGATCCAAATGATTCTAATGAAGGTGCATGGCGTTTAAAAACACAGTGGAGCACTTTCTGTATATACCACATGACATCACAAGGTGGAATGGAACAGAGTGTTTTCAGTTTTGAGTCTAAATATGCAGAGTTTGTGTGTTAAACATGTGTAAATGAAACAAAACAAAACTCCAGGTATGTTTGTGATGAGGAAACAACAATATACGATAGATGAGAAAACAGTGTAATATGGGCTCTTTAAGGAAGTATGTCATACAAGTTCATTTAAATACTATTATTATTGTTCTTACTTTATGCGTTACCTCAGTCACCATGACCAAGGATGATCTCACAACAGTTAAGAGAAATTATTTGGACATAGTAGCTCACACATCACAATATATTCTAATAACAATGAACAAAATGGCAATGGTAATAATATGATTCTAAATAAGCAGCAAAATAACGATGTTTGTTATTAAAAGTCCCAAACAAAACATACAAATCAAACTTGTCATATCCTATTATACATACAAACATCTCTCTCAGTGCAATGATTCACAGATTTTCTTTGTAACTTGAAAAAGGGGATTTCTATGATAATTCAAATTACATTGCATTCAACCATCTTTCTCAACTTTTTCCTTTGCTAAATGTATCATAAAAAGGTTATAGTCCTCATTTAGTACTTTAGTAGTGCTTTAGCTGTATTATAGACTGGGTTTAGATCTAATAGCTAAATATTTTCTTCAGGGTACTTGATATAAAAGGTTTGAGAGCTGCTCGTCTATGGGGCTCTACAGTTCCCATCTTTCGGGCTCCAGAAGAAAACCCAAGTTAATTAATTATTTAGACCTTTAGAAAATATAAATGATACAATAATATCTGTTTTAAAGTTTAATAGCGATTAACTGGCTATGAATTAAAGGTGCACTGTGTAACTTTTCTGGTGGAGGCTCCGCTTATTACTTGTCTCCATGGGCATGTTATTGCTTTTCCTAAAATGTGCCACAAACGGTACTAGACTTGTCCATTTCCATAAAAACAAGCATGTGACGCCATCAGGCCAAGTTACACATCAGATCTATGGAGAGATAGTCACGCTCAGTAAGCATGTTTGTATTTCAAGGATTTTTCTAGCAATATTAACAACTTTAATTGAATGAGTGCAAGAGGAATGTCATACTGTGGAATATTTTCGAGAAAATAATAACATTACAGAGAAGCAGGTGACACGCTCTCCTCCAGAAAAGTTACGCAATGCACCTTTAAATATTAGATTGATATGACAGTTGGCAAATATATTGGGCCACTATTTACACTTTTCACTGGACCAGCTCTTGTCTTCGATTCTCCAGTCCAGGCCCATAGTGTTGTTTTGTTTTGACCTGCTGCATAAAGAATACAGAGCTTTATTTTTTTTAGAACACTTGCGTGCAAAGAGGGCACTGCCAAAACGTGACTACACTTTGCTCTTGTAGGCTTGTGGTGAAACAGGACTGTTGGTGTATTTGTAGTACATTTAAAGGTGCATAGTGTAACTTTTCTGATGGAGGCTCCGTCAAATGCTTTTTTCCGTGGAAATTGTATCGTTTTGTCTGGAATGTTTCTCAGTGTTTCCCGTTCACAGTCAGAATGCCTGTTTTTCTAGGTATTTTTGAGCTGTAAAACCAACTGTAAATTAATAAATATAAGGTAGACCTAGGGGTGGGCGATATCTCGATATTTTTAATATATCGAGATTTTTTAAAAACTCGATATGAATTCTGACATATCTTATATATCGATATAATGCTTATATTCAATTTAGATTTCGCCGCTTTGCTTGTTTGTTTCTCTGTCGCCGCCCGCGCGCCCCCGCCTCCCTGATTTTGTTCGCTGTGTCTCCTTCACTCGTCACTATCACCGTGAACGCCGAAAGTTGCTGCCAGTGAAAAGCTTCTAGCGCCACGAAACTTTTCCACCATTTACAGACAAGAACATCAGCAGCACATCCTCATGTTCCACCGAGTCATGTCCTTTAGTCCAAAAGAAGTTGAACGCAAGAGCGGCACGTGGAGTGCGCTGTTTATGCAAATTAGCCATGCGCTTTTTAAGTTTCGTTTCTGTAAAACGTAAACAAGTCTGCGCAAAGCTGCAAAAAAAAATAAATAAATAAATATAAAAATAACATAAAATAAAATAATTAACACTATAATCTCAAACGGGCTGATGTGGCTCTATAGTCGTTATGCTGTATATCTTGTAAAGTTTAGTAATGTAAATTCTATTTATGCAGAAGATTTTAATTAATAATCTGTTGCAGTGTCACTTGTACAAAAGTGTTTGGAATCGTTGGGTTTGATCTGCAGTGGATTGTGGGAAACCTCATAGCTCCTTACTGCTGGATAGGAACATGGATCTGTTAAAATAAGGAACATCCTGAGCTTCTTCTGTTAAAAGAGCTCAGGTTCTGGTTCTGGTCTGGATAACAGAGTTAATGCAAAGATGAGCTTGAGTTGAGTTGAGTTGTTTTATTTATGAATGAAACAAAGGAAATATGTTTTATTTCTTTTATTTGACAGTTAAATTATTATTTATGTAATTAGCGTTTTTTGTAATCTTAAATGTTCCTATATGAACTGCCGACCTCTTACACTTAAATTTTTAAAAAAAGGACCTTGTGGAATTTGGCATATTTGTTTTTGCAGTTTTCCGTTTTAGGGGGTTATTTTTTCCTGTACAGATATCGAGATATATATCGTATATCGAGATATAGCAAAATATATCGAGATATATTTTTTGATCCATATCGCCCAGCCCTAGGTAGACCTGTGTAATGCCATACTGTGGAACATTTCAGGCAGAGCAATGGCATATCCGTAGAAACAAGCAGGTGGTGGACCCTCTAGAAAAGTTACACAATGCGCCTTTAAGTGACGAGGCGAAATTATCAAAATAGTTTCTACATATCGACCCAGAGCTTATTGGCCACCTGTTTCTCTATTCTCTCTTCTAAACAATCATCATTTGCATTGACTGTGGAATAAAAAAAATATTGGTTTGGTTGGTGTGTAGTGGCATCTAGTGTTAAAGGACCTATTTTGCGCTATTTTCTGATCTAGGTGTGTTGTGTCCTCATCACAAACATACCTGGAATTGTGTTTTGTTTCATTCACACATGTTTATCTTGCACATTTTGGTTGAATCTTCTCTCAAACACTCCAACTTGTGATGTCATGTGGTGATACAGGAAGTGCTGTATTGTTTTTTTAAACTCCATACACCCTTAGTAGAATCATGGGTAATTTCATCTCTGGAATTTACAATCTCTACTTAACAAAAGGTAAAACGTACTAGGTTAACTGGAAAACTACCACTACTATGACATCACAAGGAGGAAGCATTTTGAGCATTTGAAATGTAGACAGAGTAATAATAAAGTTACTCAAATGTGCGAATGAAGCAAAACTTCTGGGATGCTTTTAATGAAGTAACATTCTCAGAAGTTGTTGGCAAAGGTTGAATTTGTCCAGTACTATGAGCCCCCTGTATATTTTAACTGTGATGTAGGACAGCTATGAATCATCAGATCAGAACAGTGGATATTGAACCATTGAACCAGGGCCGTGATGAACTTGGGTGCGTTCATCAGGGGCTGGTGAGTCACTCTTCTACAGAACTGTGGATTTCAGCTGAAACAATAGAGCCAACTTGCACCTCAGCTATCACAGATTTAATTACTCTTCATTTACAAGATGAACTATGTAACATTTCTTCGGGGGGTTTGGCATAGGGTGAATGACTTGTCAAAAATATCAAATTGCATTCAGAAAAAGGGGCAAATAGAGATATGAGAAATATGAACTGACAAACTAAAGCAAGAATCACATTTCGGAGCATATTTGTACAGATCAAAACTAAAGATAGCAGGAATAAGACAGGGTATTTGATTGTTTGTGGGAGAATTGTTGTACTTCAAAAATTGCGGCCTTTGTGATTTGAGAATTTTATTGCATAATTTTGATTCTACTGTATGGGATTAGACCTGCATTCTTACTGTGAGCGAGCACGCCTCTCTACACGTCCGCACGTCTGACAGGGGTTTGATTGATTCGCTATAAAGCTGTTTGATTAGTGACAACATTTCAAACTATTATTTTCATTTGCTATGAGCTCTTTACAAGTAAAACTGAGTGACTCTTATCTGCAAAGACAGTTGTGGACAGTATTAGTTTTTTTCTCTCATCGCATTCATTTCTGAGGTAGTTTTAATGTTGACCTATTTTGATTTTACATTTTAAACAAACATGACCTAACAGTGTACCCAGATACAAAGTGTATGTTCAAAATCAAAAACCTGGTAACAGTTCTGATGATGATTTATTCTTACATAAACAATGAACATAATGTCCCATTTATTTATGTTATAACTTGGTGTTTTGGTTCTCAGTACGGTTATCTAATCAGGAAGCACATGCGTCTCTCATTAGGCTTTCAAAGCTGAAATCCAGTTGGTTTAAACCTAAAAGAAGCCTCTCTAATCTGAATCCTTGCTACCTAAACCCCAGCACCTGCAGCCAGGCATTACTCAGTGCTAGTGCTAGTGTATCCTAAATGTAGGTTAAGTTAAAGCACTAGCAACTATCAGTGTAATGATATCCAATTCTCACGATACAATATCATCATGGTATGATATTTATTGTGATATCGTGGGAAAGCTCACAATATGGAGGGGAGGCTCATGATTAGAGATGTAACGATATCCAATTCTCTGTACGATATTTTCACGATATACATCTCACGGTACGATATTTATTGCAATATTTTGTGGAGGTTAACAAAACTGTTAATACGCTACTTTTTCCTCTTAAAATGCCTTGACAAGACTTAATCCAAATAACTAAGGCTTAAAAGTGCTTAGAACTGTTATTTCTTCTTGTAGTCTACCCTGAAATGGTATATGTAGTTCCCTCTTTTCCCTCCCCTCTTTTTAGCTATTGCTGCACCATAACTCTTAATTTAAAAAGAGACTTGTAATTCGATATATTGTGATGGTTCACGATATTATTGTGAGAACTTTGACGATATGATATCACAATATTTCGGTTCTTGTCATATCCCTAGTAGCAACCCATTTTCAGGGCATTACTCCTCTGCCCTTTCCTCTGCTAATCCTTCACTCCTCTGCCCCCTCCTCTGCTCATCCTTCACTCCTGTGACCTCTCTCCCCTGCTCATCTGTCACTCCTCTGCTCATCCTTCACTCCTCTGCCCCCTCCTCTACTCATCCTTCACTCCTCTGCCCCCTCCTCTACTCATCCTTCACTCCTGTGACCTCTCTCCCCTGCTCATCTGTCACTGCTCTGCTCATCCTTCACTCCTCTGCCCCCTCCTCTGCTCATCCTTCACTCCTCTGCCCCCTCCTCTACTCATCCTTCACTCCTGTGACCTCTCTCCCCTGCTCATCCTTCACTCCTCTGCTCATCCTACACTCCTCTGCCCCCTTCTCTGCTCATCCTTCACTGCTCTGCTCTCTTCTCTGCTCATCCTTCACTGCTCTGCCCTCTTCTCTTGCTCATCCTTCACTGCTCTGCCCTCTTCTTTGCTCATCCTTCACTGCTCTGCCCTCTTCTCTGCTCATCCTTCACTGCTCTGCCCTCTTCTCTGCTCATCCTACACTCCTCTGCCCCCTCCTCTGCTCATCCTTCACTCCTCTGCTCTCTTCTCTGCTCATCCTACACTCCTCTGCCCCCTCCTCTGCTCATCCTTCACTGCTCTGCCCTCTTCTTTGCTCATCCTTCACTGCTCTGCTCTCTTCTCTGCTCATCCTTCACTGCTCTGCCCTCTTCTCTGCTCATCCTTCACTCCTCTGCCCTCTTCTCTGCTCATCCTTCACTCCTTTGCCCTCTCCTCTACTCATCCTTCTCTCCCCTGCGCCCTCCTCTGCTCATCCTTCACTCCTGTGACCTCTCTCCCCTGCTCATCTGTCACTCCTCTGCTCATCCTTCACTGCTCTGCCCTCTTCTCTGCTTATCCCTCTCTCCTCTGCCCTCTCTGCTGCCTATCCTTCACTGCTCTGCCCTCTCCTCTGCTCATCCTTCACTCCTCTGCCCTCTCTCCCCTGCTCATCTGTCACTCCTCTGCTCATCCTTCACTCCTCTTCCCTCTCCTCTGCTCTGCTGTTCTTTGTAAATCCACAAGTCAACTTTCTCTTGCTCTTGTTTTCTCTTCTCAGGATTGTGAAGTGCTCCACAATCACACGTTGTAAAGTGAAAGTAAACTAAAGCCAAGCGCTGGTAGAGGCGATGTGCGCTGGCTTTTGTAAACAGCTCACAAATTTAGTTTATGCCGTAAATCCAGAATATGTGCAGGAGAGTTGCGTGCAAAACTGAAATCCTGTTACAGATAAAATTTTGTCAAACTAAGCTGGCCAGAATTGACATCTGTCTTTGTTTTTAGTCTACCAGAAACAAGGAAATGAAACTTGATACAGTAAAGTCTAATTGAAAATGACCTGTTTTCTCATGTTTATCTTCTCTCAGTGCCTGATGTTGATGTAGCCTAATTGAGGCGCTATGGAGGTTAGGCAATAGAAGGAGTGGGCATCTCTGTGTTTGAGCATAAAACTGCATTAAAAAGAAAACCACACTATGGAAATTCCACCAGAATAACAGATTGTCACAGGTATCAGATAACAATTAGATTTTTATCTCTATACCCCCCTAACCTTGCACAGCAAGAAGGATTCTCACGATATTTGTGAGTTCACAAACTCACGAGAATCCATCTCAGTGAGCACCCGCTGTAACGATAACCGGGGAGCAGACCAATCACAGAGCAGCATTAAGTTGTGTGCGGAAGCCAAATGTCAGATGGCCAAATGAATAAACATTTTAACTTTGTTTGTATTTGTGGACTGGGAAGATGTCTGTGCTTCTCTCTCAGTTGGATTTAGCAAAACTTAGATTTTTTGACTTGTTCCACTGTTGTGACACTTTGACCAATCAGATTCAATCAACTGCCAGGATGCTCTGTGTTTTCCGTTCACTTTGAGTGAAAGCCATTCCATATTGATAATATGTAGAACTCAATTCAGAGTGCTCCAAAAATCAATTTGGTGTGAACCAGGTTAATATCCAGCCCTGCTTTAGATCACAGTGCCAAACATAGACTGAATAGAAGTGGATTAAGTGAGTGTGACGTCCCCCTTAACATTCAGCGCCACTCAAATGAATCTCGCGATGCTAGCAGTTACGGGGGTGAATTTGAAGCCAGGCTCTATATTATGAATAGGAATAGGATATAATAGAGACAAACAAAACAAAACAAAACAAAAAAACAGCATGCTGTAGAGCGGGTTAATGTGAAAATTTTAAGACCAAAATACCAAAATGACAAAGTTCACTGCAGCAATCACAGAGAGGGGCCTCAATATTCTAATGTAAGCCAATGGGAGCCAGGGTCAGTAGGAGCCGGAAGAGTGCACGTGTGAACGTTGGAGCGCGGGGGCTATCTTGTTAGCTAAGTCCATTTACAGTGTATGGTGCTGACACAGCCCTTGTTTATGTTTATTCAAAGTCTCATTTCAATTTGGGGTCACTTTTGTCACAACCTTTAAAACTGCTGTGTTGAGGAAATAAAATATTGAACACCAGTGTAACTTTGTGTCCTGTGTCTGCTGCAGTGTCTGAATGCCAACTCTGAGGGCTATGGAGTTGAGTCGGCAACTGTGTGGGAAGATGAGGAGGTCCAGACGATCGCAGGCATATTCTCCCCCCAGCACCCCGCCCGGTCTGCACATCCACCTGTACATCCCTGACACACAGCCCCTCCACTACAAAAGCAACTGCTACACCGCAGAGGAGCTCTGTGTCGAAGCCGCCAAGAAGTGCTGTAAGTTAAAGCAACCTATTCTGCAAAATTGACTTTTTAGAGCTTTAATCCATGTTATAATTGTTTGCCCTCACTGTTTACTCACCTGGAGTTTTATTTGGAGTGATTTGTGTATGTTTGAGCAATCTTTAATTGCTTATTTTCAAGACACCATATCGCAGATCAACCACCAGCATTCGCCGACTGCTCTCTACTCTTAATCAGTGATACATGTAGGATTGAACTGTGTCTTGTACTCATTTTGGTACAAATGAAAAGAAATATGTTACTCGTTAGCCTGATCTGTAGCTATTAGGGATGGGCATGATTAGTCGATTAATCGATAATTGATCATTAAGAATTTCATCGATTACGTAAATTTTAATCGACAAACCGAATGCAGGTTGCTGTGCGCAGCGTGACCAAACAGGGGTCTGTACATGTAGCTCTCTGCACTCAGAAGGAGCGAGCAGACACAAACAGTCGGTCAGTTTGCAACGAAGTGCATATGCGTATTTAACGATGATTTGTATAAGAAATTCCACGCTTTCCGTTCCGGTCGGGACAAGTGTGAGGCCATGTGCACAGTGTACAAAGCAGCTCATATGTTTCGGTGTCCAGTGGGAAAAAGCTTTGCCAAGTGAGAGAAGCGCTTAAATTACTTAAAGTGAGTAACGTAATCTGATTACTTTGGATTACTTGATATTGTCATGTTTTTTTAAACGACATGAATGTAGCAACCACATCCTGAAAATTCTTGTTTGTTGTCTTCAAATTGTTTGAGCCCAAATCTCCATGAATAAGCAACTGTTTGCTGTAGAGAAACAAAGACCACGATATCTTAATATGAGAGGTTTTGTCTGTTAAAAGACAGTAACAAGATCAGCCTTTCCTTCACCAGATTAAAAAATATTACTGATAGAGAAATTATTTTTTATATGAGATCACCTTAAATTATGTCAACCTATTGTTAGGTGTCATGTTGTTTCGACCTGGTTTAGTCCTGGTTTAGTCCTGATTTTTAGACCTGGTTTACTCCTGATTTTAGACCAGGTCTAGACCAGGTCTTTAGTTCTGGTTTAGTCGTGGTTTAGTCCTAGTTTAAACCTGGTTCAGTCCTACTTTAGTCCTGGTTTAGTCTTGGTTTAGTCCTGGGTTAGTCCTGGTTTAGTCCTGGTGTTAGTTCTGGTTTAGAGGCGCACAGGAGGAAGCGCGGTTTACGCGAGAAAACACGTTCCACACGCGGCGCACGAGACGGCGGTGTTCGTGCTGTAACTACGGAAGGAGACGTGGTCCGCGGGTTCTCAGGTTGATGACGATGATGAAGGTGTGTGTTTGTGTGTGTTTGTGTGTGTTTGTGTGCACGTCCACTCATGTCGCAGGTCACTATAGGACAGTAGTGCAGATTTAATGAGTCTATGCAGGTTGTTTTCACCGGTGCCAGTAGCTCCTGTTTCACATTTAAGTTGTAGGCAATTTTATATTAGTTTTTTTATATATATATCTCACATCGGGAGAAGAATTTCCAAGACACAAATGCGTTTTTACCAATGCACTGCTGCTTCCACTGTGTGACTGACATCGCCAACTTTAACATGACGTTTACGTCGCTCTTATTGCGCGCGTTCTGTTTGGGTTTCCAGCAATGAGTGAAATTACCGAAATAAAAAAATAAATAAATGGGATGTAGCACAAAATGTGAAAACAGGAAAATACCGCCTTGTAATCCACTTATTTCAGCAAAGTAACTGTAATCCAATTACCACTCATTGAAACAGTAACTGTAACGGAATACAGTTACTCATAATTTGTACTCTGATTACGTAACGGCGGTACATGTAATCCGTTACTCCCCAACACTGCAGGCTGATCAGAGCAAACGCGAGAATTTCAAAAGTAAATTTTAAAGCACTTACTAACAGTCAGTCTGTCGGTGGAGCCGCCTTTGCGTTGATACGTGGCTGTGGTTTCACGAGGTTACTTGCGTAAACGCTGATGCGTGCAGTGGAGTCAGGCCCTAAGTCTGTAGGTCATACGCATAGACTGTACAGCGGTGCGGCTTTGTAGCTTACCAAAGCTGTACTAAAACATTTTGGTAATACGGTAATACCGTATACCCCGGTAAAATCCTGAGACGGTTTCATTGTATCAAAATTTGGATACCGCCCAACCCTAATCCACAAGTGTCGTATATTGTATGCAGCAGACATGAAAACAATAGGTCTTCTTTAAGAATGTGTGGGTTTGGGTGTGTCATCATAACTCATTTTGAAGTGTGATACACTGCTACAAAAAATGTAATGATAAATGATACTATTGAAACTACTGCCACTGGCACAGTAACTCAGGAGAATCCCAGTAAAGTTTCAGTCTCTAAATGTAAAGTATTGGCAGAATGAAACCCTCAAATAAAATAGCACAAAAAAACTACAAAATCCATACTAGAGCAAAGAAATAGTGGCCAAAATGTATACTGTGCTCCAAAAATATTGATCCAAGACGTAAATATTATCTGCTTCTTCTGAAAATTCATACTTCACTGTGATTGGTTGAATCCAGCTGTTATCACTCACAGTATTACAGAGGCTGACCAACAGGAGTTGTGGATGAGAAATTGTGTCTTTGAGCACAGAGCTGCATTCAAGAGAAAATTTGTCAGTCATGATATGCTGATTTTATCATACTAACATATTGCCACAGGATTGAAATCATAATTCTGTTTTAATGACCATATCGCCCAGTCCTGTTTTAAAGGTCAGAGATTATGCAAACTTGACTTGTTGTAATGTTGTTACCTCATCACAAATGTAAGAGGTGCTGGTCAGGTTTGAGTAATCCTTTGTTATTAGTCTGTCTTCGTATCCAAAGATCAAAATGCTCTGTTTCAGCTTGTGATGTCATGAAGCAATAGCAACCTTTTACCTTTTGTTCACTAGGAACTGGCAATTCCAGGGATGAAATTAGCCAAATGTTTGTAGTGAAGGTGACACCGTGTTGTCTGTTTGGAAGAAGAACAGAGCCAAAATATGCAGGGTTTGTGTGTTAAACATACGTGAGTGAAACAAAATACAACTCCAGGTTTGTTTGTGATGAGGAAACAACATTATAATAGAACATAGTGTAATATGGGTCCTTTTAAACATGTCACTTTGATGTTCCTTCATCCAAAACATAGGACATTTCAGGATGGACTCTGGGGGTTTATTTTGATAATGAATTTTTTGCAATTTATCAGAATTGTGCTAAAATTTGCCCTTTAAATTGTTTGCAAAGAACTTCTTTTTTATCTGAATTGTCTGTGTTGTTGCACACAAAGAGACTATTTTTAACTGTTTTGTTGCTTGTTTCTGGCAGCGATCTCTCCTTTATGCTTCAACCTGTTTTCCCTGTACAATGAAGAGAGTCGTCTGTGGTACCCTCCCAACCATGAGTTCAAGATCACAGATGACACCAGTCTCAAGTTGCATTATCGCATGAGGTAAGACCGTGAGCACACCAGCCTTCCTCTATCTTATATCTTAGCACACTTGGTTTAATATAATGTTAATGCGGCAGTTACTTCATCTATATTGCATTATTGACTGTTGCATTAATTGATATCGCAAGAAAATAAATCTAACTCAACAATACCGAGTTCTCCATTTTACAGAAGTGCACTGTTTATGTAAAGTAAAATGGACAAAAACGTACATTTTATTTTTATTTATTTTATTAATTAAATTATTTTATTTTATTTTGACCCAGTTTTTCTAGTAAATGAAGGCATTTATGTTTTTTGTTTTAAACGAATGGAACTTGTTGTGATAAAAACTTGAGTAAAATATCGCTATGGCAATACACTATAGAATATTGGATCTTTTGGTCATCTTGTGCAGCCCTACAGAAAGGGAGACATACAAGGCACAAAAGTAATTGTCATGTGTGAATCCTTGAAACTGTCATTGAAATAATATGAGCCATTTTAGACCAATCTTCAGATATTGCTATTTTTAACTAGGTCTAAAAACTCAGACATTATAATTATTATTTTCATGCATATAATACAACCACAAGTGTACTAACATGTTTTTAACCTTCTCTGCTTTTGACAGGTTTTACTTTAAGAACTGGCATGGCACTACAGAGGGGGAGTCTCCTGTGTGGAGGCACTGCATCAGTAAACTCAGAGGAGGCCTGAGCCCTCAGAAAAATCCAGAAGGAACTCCTCTGCTGGATGGTGCCTCTCTGGAGTACCTGTTTGCCCAGGTGAGTGCCCACTACCCAGATGTGTGCCCATTGCCCATGATTTTTACAAGGACTAGGGCTGCACATTAAATGACAAATTTATAGTTAAATCAACAATCATACTTTGAGTTAGTGCAATTTTCATATCACAAAAGCTGCAAGATAATATTTGTTGTTGATTGTTTTCTGCAAAGAACATAATATTCAGTTTTTATATAGTGAAATCTTGCACCTGTATTTTATTCTAGATTCAGGGGATTCTTGTATTAGTTTAGGAGTTCATTTTAGGTCTTCATTCAGATATGCTCCTGAAGTATCTTGCAGTATAAACTGTGTAAAGTATTAAAATGTCCTAATTCCTAATTCTTAAGTTTTAATTATGTACTGAATAAGCCCTGTTTTATGTTAACAGGCACATCAAAATCAGATTATAAATTGTTTTCTTGGTCTTTAAGATTATTTAAATTACATGTAAACTGTGTCAAAGGGATCATGATCAGAAAGACATCCAATGATTTTGCTGTTTACATGTTATTTTAATAAACCTATAACTCCAAAAATCTGTTAATAACTGGATTTTGAGTGCACATGTAACTGCAGTATTTCTTCTTTCAGCTTTACATAACCATTATTTTTGTGTGTGTTTTTGTTTATGTTGGCAGGGCCTTCATGACTTCCACACAGGCCTGATCCCTCTGAGACAGTCTCACTCAGATTCAGAGCAACATGAGATAGAGAATGAGTGTTTGGGCATGGCTGTTCTGGCCATTACTCATCATTCACTCACTAAAGAGATCCCGCTCACCACTGTTTCTCAAGAAATGAGGTACTATAGTGCACATGGCCCATCCCTGCTCTACTACTGCTTTTCTGACCTCTCTCTGACTACAAAAACATCTTTAAGGTCCTATATTGCGCAATATTTACTGTGAGCTTTAAGTCATGTTATAATCTTGTTACCTCATCAAAAACATATGTGGAGTGTTTTGTTTCAGTCATACGTGTTTGAGTAATCCTTTATTATTAGTCTGTCTACATGTCCTAAGTGCAAAATGCTCTTTTCCATCTTGCGATGACATGAAATTGTAGTTTAAAACACAACTCCAGGTATGTTTTTGATGAGGAAAGAACATAATAACAGAGATCAAAAAAGAGCGTATTGTAGGCCCTTTAAAGTGCATTTGGCAGACTTTTGTGTTTTTCTAATTATTACCTGGTTTGGTGGGATAGTACTTGCGGAAAGTATTTATTATAGTTTTGCATCAGTTAACTGTCAGTTTGTGGAAAAAAGTTTAGAAGGAAGGAAGAAGGAAGTAGTGGAGAGTTAAGCAGAATACTGCTATGTATCTGATCATCACTGGAAATTATAATTCAAAATGCTGGGAACATTTATGCACAAGTAAGGCATTTCTTTTGGCAATTAAAATCTTAATTTAACAAAACAAACTGCTGCATTTATTTTTATTAGACTAGTCATATCAGTTATGTAATTTAGACTAGTTTGAGCTTGTTACTGTATTATGGTTTCTAGATAATAGTTATGGGATTGCCTCTGGTGTTAACTGTACACTAGATCACAATTTAAGTGATTGAAGACCGTTTAGAAATCAATCATGAAGGATTTTTCATTAGTTATTGTAACCCTGTTTGTTATACAGCAGTGCCCTTGTCCACATGCACACCAAAATCTGATTATAATCTAATTTCTGGACCTTTTAAAATGGCCTAAATGTAAATGTAAACATAAATGTAAGTGTAAGTGTAAATGTAAATGTAAATCCAATGTCAGTAATCAAAGGGACCATGATCTTAAAGTAATTAGATGATTTTGCTGTTTACATTGATTTTTAATCATTTTAAAACTCCAAAAATCTGCCAGTGCTCTGTTAGCATGTGAGGAAAAATTTAAAGGAGATAAATGTTAAAATATACATTTGTTTTCGGCTTCTTGTTGGACCTTTTATCATTCATAGGATGTTTTGTTGTCAATTGCAATAACAACAGTCCTTATTGGTCATCATTATGAAACCTGTAGTCAAAAGGAAAGTAACGCATTACCAGTGACAACACATTGTACATGTAAATAAAAGCTACTGTCAAATGTGTGTATCATTTAATATTTTTGTTATTTTAATTATGTTTATTTTAGACTTCATTGATCCACAAGGGAAATTATTTGGACCCAGTAGCTCACACATCACAATACAGTACAATAACAAAGAACAAAAAAATATAAATTGCAATAATAAATTCAAAATAAGGCAAAAATAGCAAGACTCTGTTTTCTAATGTAATGAAAACATGACTGATTTTACATTATATTCATTGATTTTAATGTGAAGTGCTTTGGTCATCTTGAGTGTTGTAAAGGGTTTATAAATAAAGTTTGAATGATTGATAAAGAATATAACTAAAGCTCTGTAAGATCTGTTATCCTATATATATTTAGTCATTTATAATAATACTGTCTTTGTGATATTATCTTTTATTTACAGTTACAAGCGCTTCATTCCTGAGTCCCTGAACCGTAACATAAAACAGCGGAATATTTTGACCCGAATCCGAATCAACAACGTGTTTAAGAAGTTCCTGAGCGAGTTTAATCAGCGCACGGTGAGAGACAGTCACATTGCGCCCTACGACCTCAAGATCAAGTTCCTGGCCACTCTGGAGGGTTTGACCACGGGGCTGGGCACGGAGCTGCTGGAGCCGAAGTCTGTTTGCATAAAGCACGAGGGAGAGCTGTGCAATGGAGAGTCTCATGGTAAGAACCATATAGCATATGATACCGGAACTGCTCCACTGTGTTTTTAAACTCCATGCACCTTCACTAGAATCATTAGGATGATTTCACTCCTGGAATTGCCAATCTCTACTAAACAAAAGTTATAAGGTGGCATCACAAGGCATGACATCACAATGTGAATCAGAACATTTTCAGCTTGGAGATGAAGACAGAATAATAAACCAGTAATATTCAAACATGTGTGAACTCCAAAGATGTCTTATAACTTATGGTTATATGGCTTAAAGCTCACAATATTGTGTAATCTAAGACCTTTAACTTTGCTTCTTGAGAAGCAGCAATGTTGTAATAACAGCCAAATTGTGAAACTGAACCCTATACTACACAAAACTGAATCTAAATCTTCTCCTTGTGGATCGAGTCTCATGACATGTCTCGTCTTGTGGATATTGTGTCTCATTCCATTCCTATTTATCGCTGACACAAATGTAATGCAGTGACGTTTTACTGTTAAATTGGGGCACTATGTGATGTATGGTATTATGATTGGAATCAAAATGAAACCTGAATACCTGTACTCTCTTAAACACTTGAGAAACTAAACTAGTTTATTTTAAATTCTTTGCAGTGAAGTCATTCCTCACTTACCTCATGCATTCAGAGCATCCTCATTAGTTAATAGTTTATATGTGCGTTTGACATCATTCAAAGGCCAGAGCGGTATTTACTGTCATGTAAAACTAACAAGTAGCATTTTAACTGTGCATTTCCCACTTCTAAACGGCTTTATAATTAGATGCAGACAGCACACAGTGGATTTATTTGATTTTCAAGCACTGCCTATATAATATATCTGTACTGGGACAAGACACATTTTCATAATACATGGAAAAAATAAAGCTCTGTACAAGCCCTTTAAGCTCCACAAAAAACAGTGGGATTATATATTGAAAAATTGATTATATAGTAAATTCGCACTTGTTGTTTTGGAGACATGTGAAATTAGAAAATCAAATGTATAGTCTTTATTTTTTCAAGATATGATTTAAAATAAATTAAACATGCCTGGTTATTCTTTTCAAATAGGTTTTACACCATTTTCTTGATTAATTTATACTGTACAGCAGTGTTGTCACGATACAAAAATTTCAAACTTTTTTCATTATGATTTCAAAGGATAGACTCAATGCTCTTTTCCAATTTTGATCCCCAAATGTTCATTTTAAAAGCTCTTTTTTACACACTGTTGTAATTATCAACACAAAATAATAGTGTTTGTTTATTATACCATGTGATCTTACACTCGCTCAGGTAAAACTCAAGAGCGAGAAAAGTCTTTTTTTTTCTAGTTTCAATACTAGCTTTACTATTAATTTGTATCAGCTTTGCAATACTTTTAACAACCCTACTATACATAACAAAAGTCTATGATTGGTTTCTCCTCCTGACGACTTTACGATCACTGAAATGAAACTTTGCTGGCCTATTGCAGCATTATTTGAAACCCAGCAATTAAATTATCCTCGTGGGAAACCGACTACAAAAAATACTATATGATGATATTCTCTACAAACCGAAATCAATGGATAATCTCTACTCAAAACTTCAGCAGCTGTTTTGAGTCATAGTATTTATTGTTGACATAGTTTTCAGATAACCTGAGTCGCACCCAGCTAGCCCTCACTTGACTTTTCCTCTGAAGTTGTTTGGGGAGGAAGTGAAAATAGACTGAATGTAGACACTCCTCTTTTGAAAGACAATGTTTCATAATACATTGTGAAAATGATATAAGTATAATGCATTACTATGTGTAACTTTTCTGATGGAGAGTTCATCACCTGCTTGTTTCTATGGAGACGTTATTGCTTTGCCTGGAATGTTCCACAACATGGCATTAAACATGTCTATCTACGTGGAGACAAGACAGTGATGCCATTAGTCCAAGTTACAAGTCAGACCTGTGGAGAGGCGAGCCCAGTTACAGTAAGAATGCATGATACTTTTGAGCAATAAAAACTGTTAGGTTAATATCACACTGTGGAACATTTTAAGCAAAGCAGCACCCTCTCTACGGAGACAAGACAACCAGACGTTAAAACACCCGCCATGAACGTTACATAGTGAACCTTTAGTTGGTTATAATTGCTTGTATGGGAAATAACTCTATAATATAACATGCTTTTTTGTTGTCTTTTAAGGGTACTACAATCAGAAGTACAACCAAACACCAAATCAGACCTTAGAACCAAGCAATGACATCCAGGTTTTGGTCACTGGTACCACTGGGATTTCCTGGAGAAAAAAGCCTGCATCAGTAAGTCCAACTGTACATAGTTTTAAATGCATATACCGGTAACAGATTTTTATGTTTTTTCTAATTATTACTTGGTGGAATAGTACCTGTGCTGAATATTTATCATAGTTTTGCACCAGTTAAGAGACACTTTATGGAAAAAAGGTGGGAAGAAAAGTACAAAAATACAGGAAATAGTACCTCAACCTATGTCATCAACTGTCATCTATTCCACCCAAACTGCAGAGACAGTTTACGCACAAAGGGGGCATTTTTCTGACAGTTTAAACCTTTATTTAAGTGTTGTCATTTTCTTATTTGTCATAACTATAATGCAATTTAGTCAAGCTTCGACATGTTAACATAATTTTTGCTAGGTAACAGCTATTGTATTACATCTACATAGGCCTATCTTACATCTGCTGCCCATTTTCAACCAGGGCATAAAGTTATAAACTTCACCAGAATTTAAAAGCTTGAAAAACAAGATTATTACTAAAATTTGGTTTACAATGTTTTGGTGAAATAATAAAATTAGTAGTCATGTGCACTTTTACTAGACATAACGGATGTAACTAACTGTGTATGCTTAATCACAGACCAGCACTGTGTCCAAGGAAAAGGGGAAGTCAAGGAAGAACAAGCATGATGGAAGGCAGAAAAATGACCCAAAGAGAGAGGATGCGGGCTGGGAGGTGTTCTGTGATTTCTATGAGATCACACACACTGTCATCAAGGAGTCAACGGTCACCATCAAGAGACAGGACAACAAGAAAATGGTGAGAAAATGCTCAATATATATGGAAATTTCTAGGGCTGTAGTATTTAAAGCTCCTATATTATGCAAAATCGACTCTTGTAAGCTTTAAGGCATGTTAGAATGTTGTTACCTCCTCAGAAACATACCCAGAGTTGTGTTTTATTTCATTCACACATGTATTATTAGTCAGTTTATATCTCCAAAGCTCAAAATGCTCTGTTCCACCTTGTAATGTCAGGAAGCAGTAGTTTTCAAGTTAATGACTCCCTTTCCATATGATTTTAATGGTTTATGGGGTTTAAAAACACTGTGGAGCACTTCCTGTGTGCAGTGTTTTCCATTTGAAAGAAGAACTCGGCCTAAATATGCAGGATTTGTGTGTTAAATAGGTGTGAATGAAACAAAACACAACTCAAGGTCTGTTTTTGCTGAGAAAACAGCATTATAACAGTTCAGAAAATAGTGTCCCTTTTTATTCATTCTTGTTTGTTTCTATCTCTACGATCTGGCCATATATGACCCAAAGTGCACTCACAAGACCACAAGCTCACAGGGCTTCACACAAAAACAACCATGTATTCACTAAGCTTGTCAAAAGTACTAATACCCATATACTAATGATATCAGACCATGTCCATTCATCATATTAAAAATGGGAGCAAACCAGGACTAAAGATGAAACTGAACCAGGATCTCTTCTAACCAAGGATCAAACCAAGTCCACATCTGGAGAAAACCTGGCTCAGATGAGGCGAATAAGTGTAAACGCACCCTAAAAACTATTATCAAAACTAAGTATCAATGCAAAAAAATCACAGAAATAAAACATTTTGAACCTTTCTTAAATACCTAAGATAATATTAAAGAAACTACAATTATATTATATTTAGATATTTCATAGCTGTAGTTAGCACAGAAAGTCTCATAATATTTCAACCTTTATTTATTCAAAGCTGTAGCTGTAGTTATGGAGTTACAAGTGGGAAAACTAACAGCTACATAACCCATTTGGAGCAGTTTTGTCTTATTTTATTTTTGTCTAAAGGAATTAAATGCTGTTTTCAGTCTCTGCACTATTGGTTGACATCGGGTATCACCAGCTACTTTCATTCTAAAGCAATGGTATCCAAATACCGAAACTTTAAAAAGCTGGATGTATACCTGGATCGTTTCTGTTATGATCCTGGTTTAGTCCTGGTCTAGCACAGGTTTAGTCCCTATTTGTCCCAGTTTGCTGAGTGAATGCATCCTAGGACACCAACCTCCAATCAAACCAACATATTCTAACACAGTCCTAATGAACCTTCGAATGTAATAGTTAACTTACATCATCATTTGTATTATTTTTAGGAGTTAGAAATGGTGTCCCGGGCAGAGGCTCAGGCATTCGCTGCTCTGGTGGACGGATACTTCAGACTCACAGTGGACGCTCATCACTACCTGTGCAAAGAGGTGGCTCCTGCTTCAGTGGTCCATGACATTGAGAACGGCTGCCACGGACCCATCTGGTAATAAATAATGCAAACTTGAATCTTTTCTATTAATTTGATGTAAAAGTCTTGATTTTATTGGTGTTATATAGTTAAAGGCCCTACATTAGGCAGATTTTTGATCTGTATTATAATGTTTCCTCATCAGAAACTTACCTGGAGTTGCGTTTTGTTTTGTGATTAACACACAAATATAATTCAGCCTGTATTCTTCCCTCAAACCATAAACGCTCATCCACCTTGTGATGTCATTAAGTGGTCATACTTGAAGGATAATTTCAGCCCTGGATTTGACTAACTTTGAAACTACAGCTATTATTTTAGTCTTGTTCAAATGTCTTCCTTTCTTGCTTCACCAGAAGATATTGGAGACTTTGGTTATCTCAACTGAACACATTTTTACAAAACAAAACTAACTGAAAGAGAAAGCAACTATCTAGTGTACTGTATAATAAAACAGTTCAGTTGAGGCAAAAAAAATCTTGTCAGCCTTAAAACTACATCTTGATCACATCACGAGGTGGAACAGAGCATTCTGAGCTGTGGAGATATAGACAGACTAATAATAAATGGTTACTCAAATGTGTGAATGAAACAAAACACAACTCTGGTTATGTTTTTGAGGAGTTAACAGCTTTCTAATATGAGTAAAATTTCACAAGAGTCAGTTTTGTATAATCCTTTACTTTTGTGTTTTTTTTTCTCTGTAGTACGGAATATGCCATCCACAAACTCCGTCAAGAGGGCAACGAAGAGGGCACCTACGTCCTGCGCTGGAGCTGTACTGACTATCATTACATCATCATTACAGTCGTGTGCCTTGAGGTGAGGGGTTTTGGGTTTTTATTTTTCATAATTTGGATATTGGATTAATCATACATTTAGGGTACAGGTGACAAGCTTTTAGTTTAATAATGAAAAAATATTGTGTATTTTAAGCAAATTAGAAGTCACGATTTGTGAACTGAACTTTATTTAGGAGTTTAAAGGGCCTTTATTACGCTGTTTTCTAATCTATGTTATAAGACTGTTTTGTTTCATTAAGACACGTTTAACATACAAACCCTGCATACTTAGGCTGAGTACTTCTCTCAAACAGAAAACGTTCCACCTTGTGATGTCATGTGGTGATACAAGAAGTGCTCCATTGTGTTTTTAAACTTTGCTAGAATCACTTGGATAATTTCATCTCTGGAATGGCAAATCTCCACTGAATAGAAGGTAAAAGGTAACTTGAAAACCACAGCTCCATGACATCACAAAGTGAAACAGAGCATTTTGAGCTTTGGAGATGTAGACAGATTAATAATAAAGGATTACACAACGCAACTCCAGGTATGTTTTTGATGCAGTAACAACATTCTAACATATCTTAAAGCTCACTGGTGAATTGACAAAGGTATGAAAAACAAGATGATGGTACATTATCTTATTTTGTATCACATATTATTGCATTCTGGTGTGAGGAAACATACCAAAGTTCTTTTTGTTTTTTATTTTCTGAACACAAGGGTAGCAGTCTCAGTTCACCTTCTAACTGACCAGTAACTGACAATAGAACCTTCCCAACAACTTGTCAACGTAGAAACCAAGAGTCACATACAAAAGCCGTTACCATTGTGTAACTTTTCTAGTGGAGGATCTGTCAAATGCTTGTCTCCATGGTGATGTTATTGCTTTGGCTCGAATGTTTCACAGTATGGGATTAAACTTTTTTATCATCATGGAGACCAAACCAGATCAAGTTACAGGTCAGATCTGTGGAGAGACAACCCCGCTCAAAGTCAGAATGCCTTTTATTTGTAGGTATTTTTGAGCTGTAACATTCCAGGCAGAGCAGTGACATATCCATAGAAACAAGCAGGTGACGGACTCCCAGTCAAAAAGTTACACAATGCACCTTTAACAACAACACATTAACAGTTACGAGAACAACAAAAGGCAGTGTCAACACTGAACTAAACACAAAATATCAGATTATTAAAATATAAACAACTACACTACTACTACTGGCAAAGTTGTATGATAATTGGTTAAAAAGAAGTCTTAGTGCTGAAGTGCGTATGATAGATTTGGATGATTCTCTAATTTTGTGTTATTTTGGTTGGATAAAACTTGTTGTAAATATAAATTATAGTTTATACCAATCAAGAAGCAATTTGTGAAGAAAAGTTGAAAAATATGTGGAAAATTAGGAAGGGAGAATTCTGTCCAAAGGTTCAGTGCAATTTATGGTAACTCTTTTTGGTTATTTGTATTTGTCAGATAATAATTTCTATGTACATTAGGGTAGTTTTGGAGTGCCTAGTGTGATGTTATGACCAGAAAGTAAAATTTTAAACCTAAAAAAACAGCCAAAATGGAAAAACGAGTGTGAATGTTTTTTTTGTTTTTTTTTTGCAAAATTCTTAAATAAAACGATGTTACCGTAACTGTTTTAGTAAAATGAGTAGTCTAACCTGTCATAGGCACTTTAAAGGTTCACCATTTAAGTTTTCTGGTCATTGCTTTGCCTGCATGTGCCACAGTATACTATTACATTTACCTCTTATCTCTTATCTGGCAACCAGGCTGGGCAAGAGGTCAGCTCTGTGGCAATAAACTTCTATTATTGGATTAAGTACAAGCTAGATAAGTGTGGCACATTCCAGGCAACGCAAAACATCTCCATGGAGACAACCACCACCATAAAAGTTACAAAGAAATAAATCTTTCAAATATCAGTTATTTCAATGTTTTAAATTAAGCTAGTTCCTACTTTCTACTCACAGCAGTTGAGCTTTTCTTTACCCGTTGCTATGGTGATGTCATACAGATGGCAGCAGAAGAGTGATACAGAATGTGATTTAACTGTTGCCGGACTACTTATGCGTTATGCAGTATTAAAGGTGCGTTGTGTAACTTTTCTAGTGGAGGTTCCGTCACATGCTATTCTCCATAGAGATGTTATTGCTTTGTCTGGAATGTTTCACAGTATGGCATTAAACCTTTCTGTCTTCATGGAGACCAAACCTGACCAACTTACAGGTCAGATTTGTGGAGAGGTGACCCCACTTTCTAGGTATTTTTGAGCTATAAAACCTCCTGGAATTGAGTAAATGTAAGGTAGAGATGTTTAATGCTATACTGTGGAATATTCCTAGCCAGGCTGGTCCCACCTAGTGCTTCCAATCAATTTCATTTCTCTCCAGCGACTAGGTCAGGAATCGGAATACACTAGACGGTTCACAAAAACCCTGTAAGTGCGAGTTCGGGCACCAGCCAATCAGCCAAGAGCCATACATTCTGTGTTGGCAACGATTCCCGAGATCGAGGATTTAAAGCCGGAACAAAGAGAATGTTTGGTGAATTTTATCAAGAGGATTTGGGAAAAGCTTAATATACCAGTTAGCCTCGTTGGCAGCGTATTAGTACATCACGACCAAATAGCAGCGATTGGTTAAATGAAAAAAATTACCCACCTACCGTTGAGCAAATGAATTCTAACGCTGCGAGGTCAGACGGTTTTCACGAAGTGAAACTGGCTGATGAATCAGGCTAGTCAACATTCCAGGCAGAGCAATGACATATCCATAGAAAAAGCAGGTGATGGACCCCCAACCAAAAAGTTACATAATGCGCCTTTAACGCACACCAGTTGGACATTGGAATTTGTCCTCACTGTGGTATAAAGTTTATTAATGAAATATTGTTAAATGGGTTTTTAAAATTTTTATTATTTTTTTTTCCAGTCCAAGGAGGACCATCTCATGTGCCAATATAAAAACTTCCAGATTGAGCAGCTGTCCCCTAGTGGTTTCCGTCTGTATGGCACCAGCACAGAGTGCCCCACCCTCAAGGAGCTGCTGGAGCATCTGGAAGGGCAAAGTCTAAGAACAGACAATGTGCATTTCCGCCTGACCCGCTGCTGCCCCCCACAGCCAAGAGGTAGGTCTGCACACAATCACACTTTTGTTTCGAAGAACCCATATTAGGCTATTTTCTGATTTATCTTATAAAGTTGTTTCCTCATCAAAATCATAGCCGGATTTTTGTTTTGTTTCATTCACACATGTTTAACACACAAACCCTGCATATTTAGGGTGAGTTTTTCTCTCAAACAGAAAACACTAATACAGCAAGTGCTCTACTGTGTTTTTAAACTCCATACTCCTTTCCTGCTGAAATCGTTTGGCTAATTTCAGCCCTGGAATCGCCATTCTCTGCTGTACTAAAAGGTAGAAAGGAAGCTGTTAACTTAAAATTTCATTGCATCACAAGGTGGAACAGAGCATTTTGAGCTTTAGAAATAATGCAGGATTACTGAAACGCACATGAATGAAACTAAACACAACTCTGGCTATGTTTTTGATGACGTAACAACATTAAAACAAGGCACAAGAGGCAATTTTGCGTAATATAGTACCTTTAAGTACTTATTGACTGTCTGTTGATGTCTTCGGTTGTATTCAGTGTCTAATATACTCCTGAATCATAGTGCAGAGGGTTTAAATGTTTATCTGATTTATGTGTACTCCAAAGGGCTGTGCGATATGCTAAAAGAATATGTTCCTGAATGTAAACAAAACAGAATCTGAATGTGTGCCATGAAAATAGTCAAATTTCTTCCTGCTCCATTCAAATCACATGTGCTTAGTGACAAAGGATTCTCTCTAGACCTCTTGCTCTATCAGTCTATTTATTTAGACAACACTCAAGCTGCCCAAAGCGCTTTTCCAATCAAATAAACAGTATAGGAACATGCAAAACATTTAAAACAACAGACACTTGGATTCAAACAAGCCAAAAGCTGTAATGATGGGGCAGTATGTTCCAGATTCAGATTTTCCCTGATTTGCGACGGAGTGAATCTTAGTCTAACTCTTATATTATTATTATTTATTGAACCCCTCTCATTCAGTATACACCTATTTACTTGTATTTATGCCAGTGTTTGAGTTTTATCCATCAGTGTAATGGAACCCTAACCCTAACCCTAAACCCCAGAAGTGCGAGAAGAGCCATACATTCTGTGTTGGCAACCCCGCATTCCCGAGATCGAGGATTTAAAGCTGGAATAAAGGGAATGTTTGGTGAATTTTATAAAGTGGGAAGACGTTATTGCCCATCTTCCTACGGGATATGGGAAAAGCTTAATATACCAGGTAGCCCTGTTTGTGGCACATTACATAAGTCACAACCAAATAGCTGCGATTGGTTAAATAAAAAACGTACCCGCCTACCGTCGAGCGAACGAATTCTAATGCTGCGAGGTCAGAAGTGAAACCGGCTGATGAAACAGAATCCGTGTATCATTCGTTCATTCGTTTTTCAATATAAAACCAAAAATAAGAAAACGAAAAAACAACAGTTTTCTTCGTTATTTGTCTCCAAAACCAAAATGAAAAAACGGATAACGATTCGTTTTTTCAGTTTTCGATTTTGTGTTTAAATGAAGAATGGAAAAAACGGATAACGGCCGTTTCCCGTTTACGTGACTTCCGTGATTGCGATGCCGGACTTTTGCACCGCATACGAACTGAACCGGGACTGATTCAGGTCCGAGACCAGACCGAGACCAGAGCGGGACTGAGACCGGGACCAGACCGGGACCAGAGCGGGACTGAGACCGGGACCAGACCGGGACCAGACCGGGACTGAGACCGGGACCAGACCGGGACCAGAGCGGGACTGAGACCGGGACCAGACCGGGACCAGACCGGACTCCGAGCTTTCACCCCAACGAAAACAAACCGAACTAAGAGCTTTTGGTTCAGATGGACCAGGTCCGGGACCAGACCGGGACCAGAGCGCTACTGAGACCCAGTCCCGCTCTGGCCCGGTCTGGTCCCGGTCTGGTCCCTGTCTGGTCCCGGTCTCAGTCCCGCTCTGGTCTCGGTCTGGTCTCGGACCTGAATCAGTCCTGGTTCAGTCCGTATACGGTGCAAAAGTCCGGCATCGCAGTCACGGAAGTCACGTAAACGGGAAACGGCCGTTATCCGTTTTTTCCATTCTTCATTTAAACACAAAATCGAAAACTGAAAAAACGAATCGTTATCCGTTTTTTCATTTTGGTTTTGGAGACAAATAACGAAGAAAACAGTTGTTTTTTCGTTTTCTTATTTTTGGTTTTATATTGAAAAACGAATGAACGAATGATACACGGATTAAACAGGCTGCCACCACCTGCTTGTCTCCCTGGAAATGTTATTGCTTTGTCTAGAATGTTCCACAGTTCAGATCTGTGGAGAGTCACCCCTTTACAGAAGGAGTTATTTTATTTTTGAGCAGTAGAAACACCTGTAATGAATAAATGCTAGATGGAAATGTTTAATGCCATACCATGGAACATTCCAGGCAAAGCAGTAACATCTCCATGGAAACAAGCAGATAATGGACACTGCAGCAGAAAAGTTGCGTTTTGCACCTTTAAAGAAAAAGATTACTCTGTACGTTTGTCTTTTCATCTGATATTTCTGCAGCTTTTTATGACTCAAATTATAGCCATCACTCTGTATTTTAAATTTGCAGGAATCAAAAAACGTTAAATGTTATCTTTCTAAATTACTCATTATCATTTTTTATTGGCTTTCATTGTGGCTTTTGGGGCCATCTACTGTTTTGAAAGCACCTGGCGGACATTCAAATAGGTTAAAGAGTGTCCATCTGCGTCTCCGCGTTTCTTTCAGTTCATTTGTTAATAAAAGTTCAGGGATCAGGGTTGAACTAAGATTTGGTTCCACGGTACTGACAGTTTAAGGATCATAAAGATGCACTATGTAAATTCTCACATAAGAGTCCAGCACCTGGTTGTGTCCATGGAAATATGCTATGGACACAGTATGGCATTAAACTTGCTTGTTAGTAATTATAGGTTTTTAAAAAAAATAAAACTATATCTTGAAAAATATGTATTCTAGTTGAAGTGGCCCACCTCTCCATAAATCAGACCTGTAAATTGGACTTGGTGCTTGTCTCCATGGAAATAGATACGTTTAATACCGTGAAAAATTCCAGGCAAAGCAGCAACATCTCCACGGTGACCCTCCACCCAAAAAGTTGCACAGTGCACCTTTAACTGGGCCTTGTATGAAAGCCAAAGCCCTAAATGAACTTAAACTCATAAAAAAAAAAAAACCACACGCACACAAATTGATTGCTTCCAAATTGCCTCTTCACAAGCCTAGAAACATTTTAACTGTTAATCTGTTGATAATGTTTTATGTGAGGTCTGGGTGTGTGGGGAATGTTTGGAGTCCACACAGGGCTGTAAAGTCAGAGAGGTCAGGAATGCAGTGGACCAGTGCATAAACAAGCTACAGCGTCCCGGAGCTGAATACTTTTCCTCAACATCTCTGTTTCCCACCAACGAAGAGCGGAGCAGGCTGACATATTACTAGGGCAAAGCAAAATAAATTCAATAGTAGAACTGTGACTTGTCGTTAATTTATTCGCAATTGTATTTTGTCCTTTATTGTTATTTGGTCTATTCAAAAACACATGGCAAATGATAGGAGAAAAGAAGTCAATATGTGATAAAAGGATACTACATTTGAATTTTTTTAATCAATATGCACCTTATTTGTAAATATTCCTTTAGAAGCATTCAGTCACCATACTTCAGCCTTTAATTGTTTAAAGCAGACCTGTTATACAAAATCAACTGTTTAGAGCTTTTAACCCATGTTATAGCTGTTTCCCCTCATTATTTACTCACCTGAAGTTGTATTTGGAGTGATTCGTGCGTGTGTGAGCAGTCTTTAATCGCTTATTTTCAAGACGATTTTGCATCTCAATACCTGTTTTCACTACCACCAGTACATGCCCACTGCTCTCTACTTACTTTACTTACTTCGTTCTTTCATTTTATTTTCTTAATCGGTGATGCTTGTAGGATTCAGTAACGTTGTGTTGTCATTTTGGTACAAATAAAAAAAAAAAAATCTGCTAATTGCAACTATCTGTCGGTTACCTGAGCAGCCAGAACCACACGCTTTGACAAAACTTTACAAAGACGAGTGGATCTGGAGCCATATCCTATTTCCCCGATTTTTTTTTTACATGCTCCATTCACGTCAGAAACTTTTTTGCCAGTGTTTGCTAATGTGTGCATTGTGCCACCATGGTAACTCCTAAACATTCCTCCATTAGAGATACATGTAGAACACCCCCAGCCTGATGTGACTGGAAAGTATCAATTTTCCGGTTCCTCGAACAGAATGTAGAAGGGACTAGCTGGTCAGGCAAGTTTATCAGAGGTGCAGATTCTTTGTTGTGATGTCTTTTTAAACTAATATTTGTATATAAAATGTCCAAATGATAACATGATCATCCATAGATTATAGATATATATCAAACACAAACACATTATGCCTTCCTTAAAATTTCTCTCAATGACTAGTCAACTAACTGAATAAAATAACTGCTGACTACTAAAATATTGTTGTAATGACTTCTTTTTACCATCCTAAAAGCGTAAAGTACCAATAAATTCTAAGCTACTGTAGAAACCCAAACTCCTCACTTTGTTAATGCATTCATAGCATCCTAATGATTCAAAACGATGAGCTCAAAAGTACATTTCTAACTCACAAGGTGTAAAGCGGAGATAAAGCCACTGTTCACAGCTACTGCTCTGCTAACGGTGCATGAAAAAACACCTTTATTATTAGATTCAGACAGTGCAAAAATGTCTGTCCAAATGTTATGTTCACTGGAGTAAAACATATTTTACTACATACAAAATCACGTATAACCAATTCAGAACCAACCATTTCTGCTTCGACGTTTTTTTTTCTGTCATTATTGGTTCTTCTGTAGAGTCTCCATCTCTAAGACACAAAGCGTTAGCAGTAGCAGTGGGCACTATGTTTAGGTCTGTCATGATAATTACTTTATTGACTAGCAATATACCGATATATATTGGTCCGATATTTGTCCTTTTTAGC